AGATTTAGTCAATCATAATGATAATAATGTGCATTTATTTAGGAAAATAAATTTTTGGGCCCACTCAGAAATAATGGGCCTCCTTACCTTGAGGTGCTTCCGGGGCTTAACGTCCCCGCGGCCCGGTCGTCGACCAGGCCTCCTGGTTGCTGGACTGATCAACCAGGCTGTTGGACGCGGCTGCTCGCAGCCTGACGTATGAGTCACAGCCTGGTTGATCAGGTATCCTTTGGAGGTGCTTATCCAGTTCTCTCTTGAACACTGTGAGGGGTCGGGCCAGTTATGCCCCTTATGTGTAGTGGAAGCGTGTTGAACAGTCTCGGGCCTCTGATGTTGATAGTTCTCTCTCAGAGTACCTGTTGCACCTCTGCTTTTCAACGGGGGTATTCTGCACATCCTGCCATGTCTTCTGGTCTCATGTGATATTATTTCTGTGTGCAGGTTTGGGACCAGTCCCTCAATTATTTTCCACGTGTAAATTATTATGTATCTCTCCCGCCTGCGCCCAAGGGAGTACAGATTTAGGTTGGATTTAGGCTCTTTAGTCGGTCCCAGTAATTTAGATATTTTACTGAGTGGATTCTAGCAGTAAAGGATCTCTGCACTCAGAAATAATGTTTCTCTCTCTCTCTCTCTCTCTCTCTCTCTCTCTCTCTCTCTCTCTCTCTCTCTCTCTCTCTCTCTCTCTCTCTCTCTCTCTCTCTCTCTCTCTCTCTCTCTCTCTCTGCACTCAAAAATAATGTTTCTAGTTTCTCTGCTTCAGAAATAATCGAAACATTATAATAATTAATTTTTGTTGTATTAAAAATATAAATAAAACCTATGGTTACTCTAAACATGAACACTAGAAAACCTTCAATACCACAGGGAAACTTCGCATCTATTGAAGATACAGCGATGATATATTCGTATGTGTGAAAACCCTCCTGGAATTGTCGCGATTAAAGTATCTACTTATCCGCAACTCAGTGCTTAACTTTACCCATGAACTAGGCATCGATGGTACACTCCCTTTCCTCCATGTCTACGTGAGAACCTAAAACAACTTTCACCACAGAAGATTATACTAAGCCCACCAACACTGGAATGTGTATGAATGGTCAGAGAGATATAAGAATAGTGTATTAAACGCAATTATACTCAGAGCCCTTACTCATTGTTCTGATTGGTATAAAATCTACAAGGAACTGGAGAGAAGCCTTCAAGTATTAAGAACACAAATTGAGAAGTCATCACCCATATCAGACGATATTTAGAAAAATTGTATAACAAGCTTTCCATAAAACTATTACAAAATCCACTATGATCTCTTTTTAATGACAAAATTTAGCTATTTTGTGTAACAACTGTTATACTCTCATACCTTTAATAATCATAGTAACCAAAATATTCATATTTTTTATATACAAGATATGAAACAGAAAATCATAAGTTAGATCTGTGTGTCGCTCCTGAAGACGTCAGTAAGGAGACGGACTTTTAGCAAATACCTTCCTGTGATTGGCTGTTGCTGGGAATGCCAACACTCTTTCTATAATTAAATGCAAACTAAGAAATACGTCTTTTTACACAACAAAATCTTTATTTCAAACACAACCTCTTCGTTTTGTACAAGACAGAAATTTCCATCTAACTGAATAATCTAGTCCAATAAGAGAACGGAGCATCGTACCATCGATATTATTTGCGTGAGGCAACCCCCACTGATGACGTCACAAGCTAGGTAGCCAGCCCATGTTTCTGTAATACTCGTTACATCCTGCAGTATTTAATTATCACTTTATTAATGCTTTTAAATACTTAACCCTTCACTTTTTATGTAGATTAAAGCTGAAGCAGAATGTCATAAGCAAGGATGGTGTGCTGAATAAAGATGATTTATTAAATGGATGGAGCATTTAGCTGATCCCTTCCTGTGATTGGCTGTTGTGTGAATGTCAACAAAGAGTTTCTACCAATGATATGCCAGCATATCATTGATTATGCACCCCATACCCCGTCTTGTGGGCGGAGCTTGAGACCTCCTACCCAGCACAACAACCCGCCTTATGGGTTGCTGTTTGGCTATTTATAGTGCGTTGGAAAAAAAACAGATGGCGTTAGTTGTATTTTGCAGGGTGATTTGTTATAAGTGTAATTTGATGTCAACAGATGGCGTAAGCTGTATCTTATGGCCACTGTTGACCTGCCAATTGATAGTGTTCTCTTCTGCCGACAGATGGCATCAGCTGTATCATTATTACTTCCGAATTCCTTTTAAACACTGATCTACAAATCCCATAGCTTATTGTGATAAGGTTTTATACTATTCCGGTATTAGATATCACTTAATTTTATTTTATCTACTGTTGAGAATATCGTTATATAACGTCTGCTTAGGATGTACTGTTCTTTGTTGAGATGGCCGTAATATTAATGTTGGAATAGTTTATTACAACATACAAGCTAAAGAAACCAGTTCGGAAACTGAGGAAATAAAGCTGCCGAAAAGAAACATTACAAAGTCCAATCATGCAGAGTGGTAGACATTCTGGCCGAAACAGGAATTTCACACTGATCCTAATGCTGATATGTTGATGTGGTTATCATAATATAAAGATGTTAAAGCAGGCTGGTATTTCATTTATTATGTACCCCATACCCATCTTGTGGGCGGTAGTGGAAAGGATTACAGAGGGACATAATGGGCTCAGGGACTGAACCCCACAATTTATTTAGCTAAGCAAGTTACAATCTTGATGAGCTAGTTACAAAATTCAATAGACATCGTCACATTAGGAAAACCTTTTTATTTATTAAATAGTATAAGGACAAATTAAAAGAACCTAACTTAATTTGTGTTGCTCACGTGGCCCCACTAAAAAGGTGATTTGATAAAACAACCATACCCAAGATTACCATCATAGTGCCGTCGGGAAGGATGGTTCAAATAGCCTCGGCTATCACCTCTTTTTGTACGGTCACTGATGGTCGAGTGGTTAAAGCCTCCTGTACACCAGTTGCATAGTGCTCCTGGCAGTATGGGTTCGAGTCACTTCTGGGGTGTGGAGTTTTCAGATAATATATATATATATATATATATATATATATATATATATATATATATATATATATATATATATATATATATATATATATATATATATTATTAAATATGACCGAAAAAGTAAGATTAATAATTCTAACACGAATTTTCTCAATCTTTCGTACATTTCTTTTCACTGTTGGAGGTAATTCAAAAATCAATTCTCCAAAATTCATTTTATTTCTAGTCTGACGCGACGCTTGAACGCGTTTCGTAATAACTTATTACATTTTCAAAGACTAGTTTACACACACAACTGTAACCTGTAAACACACATTCTATACTTATACTCTTATTTGGGTGAGGTGATATGGTACAAAAGTTTTGGGTGAGGTGATTGACATTTACACAAGATAAGACAGAACCACGAACCAATGGGTTTAAAACATAAGAATGGAGGTAACCGTAGGAGGCCTATTGGCCCATTGCATCAACACTTTCTCTTGATGCTTCTATATTGGTTCGGAGTCTTGAAGTGTGTAGAATATAGTTGCCTCGCAGATGTCAATCCGCCTGCTATCGCTGTATCTATCGATGATTTCTGTGTTGTTTGTTAAGACTTCTCTGGTGATGGTCTGGTTGTGGGAGATTATAGAAGAGATTATATGTTCCTTAATGGAGCCCTGTTGCTTACGCGTTTGTGTAAAGGATTACAGAGGCACATAATCGGTTCAGGAACTGAACCCTCTAGTTCGTTTAGCTAAGCAAATAACAATTTTTGACGCTAGTTACAAAATTATTAATGTTATATATACATGTACACACTCTCATACATACATGTACATATATATATATACGTATACATATATACATACACATACATATGTAATCACCCACACAAATACACACATCAATAATCTTTTGTCAAGTCCATCATCACCCAGCAAAAATCTGCTATCAGAATAATATCAAATTTTGCTTTCAGACAACACACAGCCCCCTTGTTTAACTCCCTAAACATGCTAAACATAATCTCACTCCATAAATTCTCTTGTGTCAACTACATTTACAAAACCCTGTTCTTAAATGCAAATCCTGCTCTGAAACTCTTCCTGGACAGATGTAATAGAACCCATTATCACCACACCAGAAATAAATATCTCTTTGATATCCCCAGAGTTAAACTTAATCTGTGTAAACACTCTATGCAAATAAAGGGACCCAGTTTATGGAACTCACTCCCTACTGAATTGAAAAGCTGTTCAACTTTTACATCATTCAAAATCAATACTAAAAAGTACCTAATTTCATCTTCATAGTTTTTCACCTTTTGCCTTAAAATTGCACTGTATCTATAGCTACCCAACCTCCCAACCTTTATGTTCCCAATTTTAACATCTTTACCATTGTGATCATTGCTGTCTTCTTATATGTGCTGCCAATCTGCTGTATGGTGTTTATAAATCTTGTTTATCTGTATCTTTTGCTACCCAGTCTCCCAATCTTTATGTACCCAATCTGAACATCTTTACCATTGTGATCATTGCTGTCTTATATGTGCTGTCAATCTGCTGTATGGTGTCTATTAATCTTGTTTAAATTTACTAATCAAGCTGTCACTGTAATCAATCAGAGCTTTAATATAACAATGTGCTTTAATATACTTACTAAGCTCTCTCATCTCATTTTTCTCTTGCAATGTATCTTTATCATTTATCAATTCTGATAGAAATTACCTACTTAAAATTATCTGTTAGATTAAGGACCTGCCCGAAACGCTGCGCGTACTAGTGGCTTTACAAGAGTGTAAATACTGTACTATCCAATGTATTCTCACAAACCCAATGTACCTTCTTGTATATATATAAATAAATAAAATAAATAAATAAATAAATAAAGTGATCAACAAGAGTTCTTGTAGACGAAATTGTTCGTGAACGAACTGGTTTTTTGTGTATACCGAATCGACGTTATCCAAAACGGTCATATACGAATCGACCAGTCCCCAGCCATAACAGGAGCATATTGGCAGTCTCAGCCATACAAGGTGGCAGCCATACATAGATAATACTTAGTGGCCATAGATATACGAGGAGAATATTTTAGTGGCCACTGTTGTGGTAATATTCATGGCTGCATATAAGTCTGTTGGAGACGACATTGGGAAGATCTGGAGAGCAGGGGAAGACCTGGGCTTGTCCAGCAGCGATATCCATAATGTATTTACCTCAGTGTTCAGGGAAGAGAAGGAAAAGGAAGCTATTGAAGCAAGGAGTAGAGATCATAAGAGGAGTGAAGAAGGCAGAAAAGAAAGGAGTGGGCCTGTGTCGACGCTCACCCATTACCTCATACTGGCAACCAAGTTGATAATGGGTGTCACTGCAGTGTGTGTCATGATGTTTGCTGTCATTTCTCTCCACAACCCGACGAGAAAGTTTGTGACACGTAATATTCAGGACATGATCTATCCAGTCATGACGAGACTGAGGTACATGGCCTTGCCTCTCCTGAGCCAGTACCCGGAGCTGAGTGTGTGGTACTCTGAGGAGTGCCTGCTGCCCAACCCTTTCTTTGATCAACCGTATATTGACTGTGTGTCATGTCATGACACTTCTGTGCCCATTACAGCCTCTGGTGTAAACCAATTTCGAGATCTGTACTATAATAATGGGAAAGTGGTGATTGTTACTGATGCTCTTCTTCATCCAATTTCCTGGACAGATTTAGCTGACAAACTAGATATAGAACAAGAAGTTGAAATTGGTGCATTGAAATACGTTTCAAAGTCAGAAACTAATGTAAATTCCTTAAACAAAATTATGAAGGAAAAGACGCTTAACGGTGACATTCATATCGAGTGGAAGGTTAATAGACTGGAAACTTTACACGTTGTTCGCAAAATCTTCCCGAGACTTTATTTCATACCGTCGGAAACGGAAGTTGCTCTTTATCGATTTTTGTTTGTAGATGGGCCAGAGTCTAATTCATATCAGTTACCTTTAACAGAGTTTGCTAATGTTGTTCTCATACAGGGAGATGGGTCAAGTAATCTCACCTTGTATCCATCACAACACTGTCAAAATACTTGCAGTTCAGTCACAGTTACTTTAAATGCAACTCAGGTGTTATTTTTTAACTGGATTTATTGGAGGCCTGTTAGGGTTAATGGGAAATATGTTTCAACACTTGCAATGAGTTCATTCTATTAATGTGTTCAGTAGCATGCCAGAAAGTAGAATTCTTACAATAGGTAAACACTCATTAGTCATTTATCTATAATGATGAAGTGCATTGTCAGAAATACTTGTATTTCACAAAACTTTTAATTTTCTCCTACTTGGCCTGGACGGTAGAGCGACGATCTCGCTTCATGCAGGTCGGCGTTCAATCCCCGACTGTCCAAGTGGTTGGGCAACATTCCTTCCCTCCCCCCACCCCGTCTCATCCCAAATCCTTATCCTGACCCCTTCCAAGTGCTATATAGTCGTAATGGCTTGGTGCTTTCCCCTGATAAATCCCTTCCCTTCCTGTTAGACTATTTTTTATATTTTTATGGCGTCCTAATATTAATGTTATTATATGTAACCAACTTTTGTTAAATTTACATTTTACATAATGTAATATACAGTATTTACCTGATATGTATGCTAGTCCATTATTTTATAATAGTAGTTTAATAATTTATTAATATTATTGTAATTAAATAACTCCTGCAATAAAATTAAATTCATATAATAATTAAATTAACACAGTTATTGATTTCCTTATCTAATACCAGGTTCTAATAATTTTACGCCTACTGTTAGTATAATTTGAGACAAAGATAAGCATGTTGCATTGCTTGTTAAACATATCATACATAAGCTTTTTTTTCTCACTCAAATTCAAAATTTGAATTTGAATTCACTTAGAACAGAGTAATTAGAAGCCAATATTGTACAATAAAATGTACTGTGATATGAAATAATAATAAGTGGGAAAATATCCTTTATTTTTTTTTATTTTTTTAGTTTAAAACATGCTTTACAAAGTTAAAAATTTTCTTGTTATTAAATATATGGTATACAGTACAGTACTTAAATCTTAAGAAAAGCGATATGAAACACATGTTTTAATTTGGCTAATATCTCCAGTAAAGCAAACTACATATTACAGCACTGAAAAATGTACAATTAGAAAATTGCATACATTATTGATGTGTGTTTAAATTAAAGAAGGCCATAATTTGACACCACTAATATGCACAGTTCTGTCTCCTCTGCTCGGAGGTAGTCCTCCAGGGTTGGGGCTTCACCTGTACTGAAATATGGAAATACAGTACTGTACAGTACTTAACATACTTGAGAAATACTTGAGGTCTTTGATATCCATCATATGTTTTATTAACTGATTTCAAGGGGAAGGGAGCAGGCATCTTCATTTAAAATGAACTATATATTCCAATCACCTTTGTATAGTCCATACAGTACAGTACAGGGAAAAGAAAATCTTCATTATCTTGCATAATGTATCACCTACAAGATAAACTACACACACTTGATGAAGAAAAATAATAAATATTTTAACCACTGCATTTTAATGTCCTCATTACTATTTGTGTTTTACATTGATTTGACATTAAATTTACTTTTCTAAAAATACAAAATGTAATTGCACCAAGAAAAATAACAGTGCATTTGTCTCTTTACAGATGTACTTATACTGTAGCAGAATAACAGATTTTTTGGAATTTCAGTCATACAGTAACTTTAAATCAGATGTGATGCACTGAATAATTCTTTAATTTTAGTGCTTTACTTTAGGCCTAAATATATAACATAACATTAATCCAAATGTTACAAGATTAAAATACTTGGATCAGACGCCTTCAGTGAGGTACTGTATACTGCTTCTGTAGAGACATTTAACTACATTAACAAAATACTGTATATAGAAATTCATTAGGTAGCTTATATTTTGAAGCTTGACAGTTGCTGGGCCAAGACAGATATAGCTACAACAACAGTACATGAAGTTAATTGGAAAATTGTGCAGAAATTAAAAAGTTATAATTTTTTTGTAGGCCTTTACTCCCCCCCCCCCCCTTGATATGTGCTGTAATTAAGTGTAGATAAACAAGTACAAAACATTATATCTCAATAGAAACGTCAAGCACAAGATCATAAAAGTAATACAAAACAAAGTTAATTTTCACATTTTAGAATGTAAGCCGAGATCTAAATTTGCATTTGTTATTTTAATTAAAGTTACCACTTAAATAAATTACACTATAATGAGCATAATCTCCATGAAGTTGTAGTATAGTTGGGTTTGTTCTCGACTCACAATCGAGAATCCCAGGAGGGACGGGAGTAGTTGGGCACATTTCCTTTCACCTAATATCTCTGCACCTAGTAGTAAATAGATACCCTGTGCAACTGTTGTGGACTTGCATCCTGGGGAAGGCCGTTACTTAAACCTTAGGAAACATTGATAAAATCCCAAAGTATATATGAATTCACAGGTTGCCTGTCCCTGACAAAACAAATTATTATTATTATTATTATTATTATTATTATTATTATTATTATTATTATTATGTACAATCAGTGAGGCAAAATAAAGATTAGATTATTATCAGGAGAGAATGTTAAGCCAATGCATATGACTACTGTATAGCACTTAAAAAGAATATTAGAAGGCAAATGTTAATAGTGCCCAATCACATGGACCATTGTGGATCGAACGCCAGCCATGCAACATACAAAGTTGTTACTCTATTGACCAGCCAAAGTGGATGGAAAGGCAGAGTTAAATAACTTTGCATCTGGCCAGTAGCTGGATGGGTGAGCATGTGGACACCCTGTAGCAGCTTCTGACTATAGGTGGACATTAAAAAATCATGCAAGCACTTCCAGCCAGATTCTATCCTTAACAGAGGTATTATATATACCAGAACATGTAAAGCGTGTATATACATATACAGTACTGTATATAGGTTGCAAAGAACAGTACTGAATATAATATACAGGGTCGTCGACCCTGTATATTATATTCAGATAACAGATACAACAGATACACTCTGTCACTGTGTGTGTATCTGTTGCTCTTTGTACTGTATTTTTCTGTCATTCCTTCCAGCTCTGTATGTCTATGTCTCTCACTGTCTCTGGTTTGTCTATGTATGACTGTCAGTCTGTCTCTTGTCTGTTTTTGTGGCTTTGTCTGTGTCAGTACTTACCTATCAGTGACTACAAGGAAATGAGATCTAATTCTTCATTCCATGCCACCTAGCCATTCGCTTGTGGCTCGCTAATTATCCCTCTCAATATTAACATTTTATAATTTCTATTTAAATTTGTGGATGGAATTTGCTTCAACAACCTCTGTGGTGCGTTCTGCTTTGTCTGTGTCTTATGTCTTTTACTGTGTGTGTGTGTGTGTGTATGTGTGTGTGTGTATTTATCACTTGTATTTACTATTTGTGTCTGCAGAATCAAGCTATTTAGCTCTTGGACCCCCGCCTTTCTAACCAATCTATTTTTCCTGTTATATCTACTACGTACATTTCTCTTTAATACTCGTGCACACACATACACATCCCCAGGAAGCAGCCCTTAGCAGCTATCTAACTACCAGGTACCTATTTACTGCTAGGTGAACAGGTGCATCAGTGTGAAAGAAACTGCCCATTTGTTTCCACTGGGAATCGAACCCGGGTCCTTAAGACTATGACCTAAAAGAAGCCATGAATTACCTAAGTGTAGTTACAGGATGAGAGCTACGCTTGTGGTGTCCCATCTTCCCAACACTCTTTATGACATAAAGTCTTTGAAGCTATGGTACTGACGGTTTTGGCCTCCTCAACCTTCTTACTTAACTTATTCCAACCATCTACCACTCTGTTTGCAAAAGAAAACTTAATATTTTTTGGTACCTTTTTTCCTTGGCTTGAATTTGTGTCCTATTGTGTTCCAACCGTCTACCACTGTTTGCGAAAGTGAATTTTCGTATATTTCTTCGGCATCTGTGTTTAGTTGCATTTGTGTGTGTGTGTGTGTGTGTGTGTGTGTGTGTGTGTGTGTGTGTGTGTGTGTACTCACCTAGTTGTGTTTGCGAGGGTTGAGCTTCGGGTCTTTGGTCCCGCCGCTCTACGGTCAATCAACTGGTGTACAGATTCCTGAGCTTATTTGGCTATCATAACTACATTTGAAACTGTGTATGGAGTCTGCCCACCACATCACTGCCTAGTGCATTCCATTTGTTAACTACTCTGACACTAAAAACGTTTTTCTAATATCTCTATGACTCATCTGGGTACAGTACTCGGTTTCTACCTGTGTCCCCTTGTGTGTGTGGCCCCTGTGTTAAATTGTCCTTATCTACCCTATCACTTGTATGTGGGTGGTGAGGCATGGTCACCACATATATAGAATCTTGTATGTGGTGATCATGTCTCCCCTAACTCTTCTTTCTTCCAGCGACTTGAGGTTTATTTCCCTTAATCTCTTCTTATAGCTCATATCCCTCAGCTTGCATACTAGTCTTGTGGCATACCTCTGAACCTTCTCCAATTTAGTCTTGTGCTTGACAAGGCTTTGAATGATTCCTTACACAGATTTCTAAAAGCCATTCTTATATTGGCCAACCTGGCATATGCCGCTGATGATATCCTCTTGATGAGAGCTTCAGGGGACAAGTCTGGCATGATATCAACCCCCAATTCTTTCTCACTCCGTTTCTTGGAAAATTTCATCTCCCAAATAGTACCTTGTATCTGATCTTTTGCTTCCTACATCTATTTTCTTTACTTTACATTTGCTCGGGTTAAACTCTAACAGCCATTTGTTAGAACATTCTTTCAGTTTGTCCAGGTCATCTTGAAGCCTCATGTTATCCTCCTCTGTCTTAATCCTCATAATTTTTGCATCGTCAGCAAACACTGAGAGGAATGAGTGGAAGATCATTTACGTATATTAGAAACAGGATAGGACCGAGTACAGGACCCTGTGGGACTCCATTGGTGACCTCACGCCATTCTGAGGTCTCACCCCTCATAGTAACACTCTGCTTCCTATTACTTAGGTATGCCTTATCCACTGGAGCGCCCTACCAGTTACTCCTGCCTGTTTCTCCAACTTATGCACCAGCCGCTGATGGGGTACTGTGTCAAAGGCTTTCTGAAAGTCCAAGAAAATGCAGTCTGCCCACCCTTCTCTTTCTTGCTTAAGCTTTGTCACTTATTTGTAGAATTTTATTAAACCTGTGAGGCAAGATTTGCCATCCCTGAACCCATGTTGGGGGTGTCACGAAGTCCATTGTCTCTAGATGTGCTACTAAGTGTTTTCTTCATAATTTCCATTCCTTTATATGGTATACATGTTAGGGACACTGGCCTGTGGTTCAGTGCCTCTTCCCTGTCGCCCTTTTTGTATATTGGGACTACATTAGCCGTCGTCCATATTTCTGGTAGGTCTCCTGTCAACAGTGACTTAATATACGTCATGGAGCAAGCAAAGACACCGCAAGTAAAGTGCTTCTTCACACTCTTTCAGTACCCATGGTGAGATTCCGTCCAGTCTAAAAGATTTTCTCACGTCGAGAACCAGTAGATGTCTCTTAACCCTGATAATTTCAAACTCTTCAAAGGCTGCCTGGTGTACTGCCACCTCTCCAACTTTAGAGACTTCTCGTCATTCCATTGTGAAGACGTCCTGGAATCGTTTGTTGAGTTCGTCACACACCTGTGTCATTGTGTGTGTGTGTGTGTGTGTGTGTATGTGTGTAAATCATGAATAAATTAACTCGTGATGGTCATTCAAATTTATATATACAATACATGAGGTAATGATAGTGGTGCCCAGGTGTTGCTGCCCCTTCCCCCTTTATGCCCACTCACATCTATTCCCAAATCCACCCCCCTCTCCTTTCCTCTTCTCCAGTCTCCCTTCTTCGCCCTTTTCTTGCCCTCTCATCACCTCTCTCTTTCTCCTCTCCCCTCTCTCTTTCTCCCTTCTTCACCCTTTTCTTCTTCTCTCTTTCCCCCTCCTCTCCTCGTCTCTCTCCCCATTCTTTTTTTCTATCTGTCTCCCTTCTTCACCCTTTTCTTCTTCTCTCATCGCCTCTCTTTTTCCCTCTCCTCTCCTCGCCTCTCTCCCCATTCTCTTTCACTCTCTCCCTTCATCTTTCCAACTGAATCTCTCTAAACCCGTCTCTGTAAATGTAATATTGGGAGATGAAATATTACTTAAAACTCTAAGAAAAACAGATCACCAATTTCGAATTTTATCAAAATCCTTGTGGGAACTTATATTTCTTAATTCAATTTCTTTCTTTATTATGCACCCCATACCCATCCCGTGGGCGGTGGTGTAAAGGATTACAGAGGCACATAATCGGTTCAGGAATTAATTAAGTAGCATATATTCGATATATTTCTTGCGCTGCTTAGATATTTACTGTTCTGACCTATGACTAAGTCTTTTCAAAATTTGTTTTATTCTGCCCTGAAGGGCGATACTGTATTAAAAACATTTAATTGCCAGAAATGAGTATACTGTAAGTAATTTAACTATCCGGAATTAAACTCGGCAATGTAATGCGTCATTCATTTTTGTTATTCCTTAAATAAGTTTAGTTTGCCTCCTAGGTAATTAGAGGGAAACCCTGCATATCATGACTGGCCGGACACCTCAACAGCGTCCGGGTAAACTTCCCACTTCCCCCACTATTATATTCCCGTCTGAGGTTCCCAGAACGGAGAACCGGAATGGCCTTCGCTGTGAAGGTAACGGACAGTTATCCCACCCTCTGTATATTACTTTATTATCAATAAATACTATCAAAAATATTTATGATTATAATTGTAGTTGTATATTTTTAGTTCATAGGATGGAATTACCTGGTGTAGCATTTGTCGATGTACACAGGCACTTCCATGAGGTGAAAATAACATGTAAACATGGCAGACGAAGTTTGGACAATGCAATGAGAAAGAACACCTAAGCCAACGTTTCGCCTTTTACATGAGATGAAAACTGCTAGTCAGCTCCTAAGGTGGGTCTTGGTCAGTTATGCCGCTCTCCTACGCAAGTGTCACCACGAGGGTTGTGTTGGAGGAGAGAGGAAGGCAGTGGAAACCCTCCTGTCTGCTGCCATCATCAACCTTGGTCGCCTTTATCTCCTATCTCTCCACCCACACACAGCGTTCTCATCTTCTCTGACATCAGTAGGGTATTTTAGGGAGATATATTGCTGCTTATCTGGCCTATATGCGGGATAATTGCTTCAACAGCAGCCCAAGAAGCTCAAATTTGAGGCTGGAGTAGGTGGTGTAAAGGAAAGAACATATGCGTTGAAATTTTTATAAACGAAGCATAATTGATCTTCTGCCCAGTACGTATTATGAAGATTTGTACAGTATACTGGTTACCCCGTAGTCTTGTGGCCTGCACTCATAAGTGTATAGGAATAAGAAGTTTTTAGCTTAATTGTTAATGTGTTTAACACTTCAAAATATGTCTGCTGTAGTTGACAGTGTCATTGCCTACTTTGCATTGATGATAGATGGTGTTGTGTTTGTGAATTGTTACAGCTGTTTATTGACTCGAGTTACAGGTTGATTACATTACATACATTTTGATTACTTTGAATATTTAGATAAGCTTGGCTAGACTAGATTTATGATACAGTATTAAAACCACATTGAAAAGTAACATGAACAAACTCTTCTTGCCCCCCTCTCTCACAGTGGGCTTTAGCCTTCAAATAGTGATAAATATAAATACTAGCAGTGACCATACTACTGGCTGTAGTAGCAATGAAGGATAATTTATATTATTTTAGTGAATATTAGTTTTTAATGTTCCATATATGATTTTTTTGTAATTAATAAATCTAGGTAAAACTCTGAATATTAAGGTTAGTTACACTGGTACAGAGTAATATGTAACATTTTGAAAATGAATTATCAAAGTTTTACAAATCACTTTGAATTTGTTTATAGTAGAGAGAGGAACTAAGATAGGGCAATGAATCAGTCATTTTGATGAAATTTTTTTTTTGGCTCATCAGCTGATAATGAGTATTTAAGCTGTTGATCCCTATCACTGAGCAAAATAAGTGTTAGAGAGTAATGATAATACATGTACTGTATATAATTTACTGGTAAAGTAATATAAAAGCAGTACTGTATTTGGAGCTTTCACAGAAACCCATGCAGGGGAAGTTTTGGACAGTGAGATCTGGATACGTACTAGAATATAATCTATATAGATGTGATAGGGTATATATGTCACATGGAGGAGTAGGTTTGTATATAAGAGAAGACCTTGTATGCTCGGAGCTCCTTAGCTCTACAAATGAGGGGGTAGAAGTACTGGGAGTAAAAATAGAGAAAAGAAAATTAGTTAATATTCTAATACTGTGCAGTATACAAACCGCCAGATGCAATGGCTGAGGAATTCACAGAACAGATAAACAAAATGGAGAATAGCCTCGATTATCTGGCAAACACATTACCTGATATTGTCTTTCTAGGTGACTTCAACTTGCCCAGTCCAAGATGGAGAATATCAAACAATAATATAATACCAGGAAATTTATCTAGACATAACTAGCCACTGATTAGTGAACTACTTAGATTCTGTGACAAATTTCCACTCAACCAGCAGATATCAGAGCCAACTAGGAGAGAAAATATTCTAGATCTGAATTTCATAAACAGTGAAACATAATCAGGGACATTACAATCTCAGATACCACATACTCAGATCACAAGCTCGTTGAAGTGCAAACTAACATCAATACTTGTAATAGGCCTCAAACAATGATCAAGCGAGAGGGGTTATACAATAAATTCAATTTCAATAATAAAAGGATAGACTGGATATGGAAACAAGGAATTTACAAATATTCAATGGGAAACTGTTCTAAGTAATAAAAATCCCATACAAGGAATAGAATAACTGACTCCAAAAGCATAAAATGTCAGAAACATGACCCTTTGTGGAAATCCACAAAGTGGACTAACGTAGGAAGAGACTGCAGACGACACTACAAAAAAAGGAAAAAAAAACTGAAATGCTTAAGCAGACACAACTATCTACAAAGAAGAAATAATTTAAACATGGAGATTGAAGAAATCGAGCAGAGACTGAAGCAATCATATCAGATTGAAGAAATGCAATTAGAACAGAAAACGTAAAAGAGAGAAAGAAAAACCCAAAATATTTCTCCACATATGCAAAATCAAAGGCAAAAGCCACTATCAGTATTTGCTCTATTTGTACAAGTCAAGGTTCATACACAGAGGATGACAAAAAGATTAGTGAAATCCTAAAAAGCAGTATGAGGACATGTTTAGCATCTCTAATAAACAGCATGAAAATGGAAGATCCAGACAGCATCTTTATGCATGATATCCAAAGCCTCTGAAAATATAACTGATATTAACACGAACACTGCAGATTTTGAAAGAGAAATTGACAACAGGCCCATGCACTCAGCCCTGGGTATAGACTCAGAGTAGTGTGGAGGAAGAGCTTGGACATGTGGGAAATACCAGATTCACTTAAATCAGCAGATATAGCTCCTCTTCACATGGGAGGTAGCAAAGCATTGGCTAAGTAAGAATTATAGACCAGTTGCACTAATGTCCCACATAATAAAAATATTTGAGAGTGTGATAAGGAATCAGGTTTCCAGTTTCATGGAGACCAATGATCTCCACAACCCAGGCCAATATGGATTTAGAGAAGGAAGATGAAGCCTTTCACAGCCACTTAACTACTACAACAAAATCACTGAGGCATTAGAAGAAAAACAGAATGCAGATGTGGTCTACACGGACTTTGCACACAAAATGAGATCAATGGGAATAATGGGTAAAGTAGGACAGTGGATATTCAATTTTCTGTTGAACAGAACACAGAGTAACAGTCAACCAAATAAAATCAAGCAGATATAGACAATAATACAAGTCACAGCTATGTATCATCTTTTGTAGCTGACACAAAAATTAACATGAAAATTACTTCTGTATTAGATATTGTTAAATTACATGCAGATATTAATAAAAGTTCCAACTGGGCAGCAGAAAATAACATGATGTTTAACAGTGATAAATTCCAGGTACTCGGGTATGGTAAAAATGAGGACCTTAAACAAAATACAAGGTTTAAAACACAATCAAATCTGCCCATAGTAGGAAAGCAGCATGTAAAGGATCTGGGAATAATGATACCTGACAGCCTAACCTTTAGGGAGCATAACCAAGCAAATGTAGCATCAGCCAGGAAAATGATAGATTACGAGAACCTTCAAATCCATGGATCCCATCATAATGGTTGTACAGTACTATTCAAATCATTTGTGCTGTTCCGTCTTGAGTACTGCTCGATACTCGCTTCCTCTTTCAGAGCAGGAGAGATTGCTGAAATAGAGGGAATATGGAGAACATATACGGCATACATACATGATAAAGCACCTAAATTATTGGGATCATCTCAAAACTCTCAAAATCAAAAAAGGGTGACAAGAGCTCCCGTTTCCCTAGAAAGGAGACGAGAGAGGTATCAAATAATATACATATGGAAAATACTGGAGGACCAGATCCCAAATCTACACAGTAAAATAACAACATACTGGAGTGAAAGATATGGAAGGAAATGCAGAATAGAAGCAGTGAAAAGCAGAGATGCCATAGGCACAATCAGTGAATACTATATATATCAGAGGTCCATGGTTGCTCAACATACTCCAAGTGAGCATAAGAAATATTGCCAAAACATATATATATGCGTGGTATATATATGTAAAGGTAATTGACCTATGCCTCTTACCTTTTACACCTCACTTATTTGTATGTACCTGAAATCCCAGTGGTATATATCCAATACGCCCTGTCCTGTTCCATCATTTTAGAATGAACCTTGTAGGTTTGAAACATTGTGTAAATTTATAAGTGTACAGTAATACATTTTACAATTCATTTTTCTTTTAGTCAACCTCGAACAAATATTAATCTACTTTTGGTAGTATTGTTTCAATATTTTTTAAAAAGTGTTTTAGTTCATAACCTATATACTGTACTGTGAAACCTTTGTAATCAGAACACCCATATGGACACCCCATCCCACCCCCTTCAGATTGACCAGTCATACTACCATTCAAAATATTGTAACATGTTAATTGCCGGAACAAACATGGACACCTTCAAGAGAAAAGTAGATAATTTTCTTCAGGAAGTGCGAACCAACCAGGCTGTGGTGGATATGTGGGCCTGCAAGCCGCTCCAAGCAACAGCCTGGTGGACCAAACACTCACAAGTCAAGCCTGGCCCCACGCTGGGCTTGGGGAGTAGAAGAACTCCCAGAACCCTATCCAAAGTACAATCCAGATACAATGAAATTGTAAAATAAAGTTTTATTACTTGGTAGTAAAACACAAAATTATTTAGTAATTGTAAAGCAAAAACAGAAATTTAACTCAGAAAAATAAATTCAGTACTAATATTAATTTTAATGGACAAACTGTCACATTAGTTATACAACAATTTAAATGATTTTTTTGCATTATTATGTCACAAATAACATTCCTTCTTTACACCAAGACCAGTTATGTATATTAAAAAAAAATTTCTTTAAATTCACGAATGCCAGAACTGTTAATCACAACAACTAGGTTAATTATATACATAGCTACTTGACATGTCTTGTACAGATCCTGCACAGTGCATGACAATGGCCAGGGGAAACTTTGGGAAAATGTTTCAATTTCAATGGGCCCTAGAAGCAATTTCTAGGGACCCTGAAAACTGTTTACTGCTCAGATTGTAGTGGTGTAAGTGATCTTCTGGCTAGAAATGGTTGCTGCACTCTGCATTGCACAGGCTGTAGATCTACACTATTGGTCACACTGCAATAAAAAATATAAATTTTGAGACAGTTTGAGTGGTCAGGTTATTTAATAATAATAATAATAATAATAATAATGATAATAATAATTCATTGTGTCAGGGGACAGACAGGAAGCCAGAGTATATTCATTCACATAGACAACCCGCCCCCCCCCCCCAAAGGTCGAATTACTGACCTGGGAGTTAGACAGCTGCTATGGGCTGTTTCCTGGGGGGTGTTTAACAAAAAGGAGGCCTGGTCGAGGACTGAACCACAGGGACGCTAAGCCCCGAAACCATCTCAAGATAACCTCAAGATATACCTCAGGGCGATGGTCATCCGTACTGCCTCTGTCATGCTGTCTCCGTCTCCATCATGTTGAGTCGGTGGCACCTACAACCCAGAGTCTTGTGGGATTTGTTCTCCGCTTATGCTCCATTTTACCCAGTCTTTATCTGTAGATCTTAGGGAGCCGGGCAACGGCTGCATTGCATGCTAGGTTTTTAATGTTGCAACGCACCAGGTTGGTCGCCCGTTTAGAAGCCTCGGAGCTACCCCGTTTGGGTTTTGGGGACTAGGATTTGGGGGCATTGGTCGCTTCAACCTTGCCTCCGTCCGAGCTCCCTCTTCCTTCCCAGGTGAGCGTGGTTCGCCCTGCTCCTCCTTCCCTTGCTTTCGGCTTCCACACATCTAGGGGTTTTGAAGTCTGGGAAGGGTTTAGCTCAGGATGAGGCTTGGGTGACTTCGGGGATTGCCATTCCGATTCGGGTGTGGAGGTGGTTGAGCCTGGTCTTCCCACTGAAGCTTCTGGGTCGACCCAGCAGACTCCCTTCTTTGAAGCTTTTTCCCTGGACTCTGCCTTTTCTTCAGGGGTGGTGGGCTTGGATGAGAGCTCTGCCCCTGGGCCTCTGTCAGGGATTCCCGGGACTTGTAGGAGTCTGCTAGGAGTGCTTTGACTCCTGTTGCCCTAGCGTGGACCTTTGTGCCTTTTGGGCTGGGATTGTTGTGGTGGGGAAGCAGGTTTTCGTCCCTTCCTTCCCTTCTGCATTGGTTTTACCACGTTTGCCGGCATGAATTACACACCCCCATGTCTGGCGCATCCATCTTTGACTTGGATGTTTTACGGTGGTTTAGTTGTTTATATTTTGGCAGCCATTTTGCACTACTGGGTGCGCTTCCGCGCTCAGCCGCCAGGGCTGCTCTACGTATCGTGATTACATATGGCTACTGGGCATTTTCACTCGATTTTTGATGAATTTTCTTTTCATTCATACGCTCTTGTTCTTATTGGTGACTCTGTCGTTCCCTTTTGTGTGACATATCTCTGGTTTAGGTTATGTCTGCTTTGTTAAGGGTGGGGAGTTGCATGAATTGCTCTGTGTTTTCCTGCATCCTTGATGTAAGGCGTCGTCAGTTATGGTAAGTTTATACTTATCTCACTGAGCTCCTCGTGTTGTGCTTACAGGAGTTGCACTTCGGCTCTTCCGGACCGCCTCTCCCTCGTGTTTATCCTGGGGTTCATGTTTCTGCACTTCTGGAGCTAATGCGGTTCTCCATTTGTAGCCTTCACCTCAGCACTGCCACCTGCATTCCCTTTCCTTCCTCCTCTACCTCTGGGCTAGTTCTTTTTTTTTGTCTCTGTGGTTCCTTTAAGTACTCAGTTGCCTCCGGTGTCCCTTTCTAGGTGTTCTACTTGTCTTGAGTTGTCAGTTTTTCCTGCCCTGTATTGTCTGCAATGGCACGTACAACTTTATTTTATCTCTTCCTCAGGAAATTTTAGTTTCTTAGGATTATTTTTATCCCCCTCGGTACGTGTTGTTTGTTTTAAATCCATTCCTTCTTCCAGACACCACTCCTGCGGTGCGTACTGTATATGGGTTTGACCATGGATACGCTCAAGCTGCAATATGAAATTCTGTGTCTAGTTTCTTTATATTCAAGGCGTCCTGCCCTGTATGTTCCCCTGGGGACTTTTGGGTGGTGATCATGTCTCCCGGTTATGTGTTTACAGACTGTGGTTGATGGGTTGTTTTCTTTTATTATGGGCACTGGTTTTGTGCCTGGTGACCTTGCCCTGTATGCTTGTCCAGCTCCCAAGCCTCCGGCCCTCGGTATTCTGTCTGTTTTATAGCTGTTTTAGCTGTGCCTTTCTTGCCATGGTAATGTTAAAAAAAAATTAACATGACAACTAATGAAACTTTTCATTCACGTGGTGCGTCTTTTCTACCGGCAAATGTGGTAGGTAGGGCTTCCCCTAAGTTCATTTCCGGGGTGTTCTAGGGTTCTTTGGGTTCATCGTTTCCGAGTTTTTCTTCCTCTCGGATTCCCCTTGGGAGGTTTGGGAGGCTCTTTGGGAGGATTGTTTTGTCTTCTTTTTCTTGTTTTTTTCTCATGCCGAATACAGTTGCTTCTTGTCGTGTGGTGTTGGCGGAGCCGCTCCAGCTTACGTTCTTGGTTGATGTCACTTCGGCTCCATTTCACAAGCTCTCTAGTGCATTTTTTTCCACTTCCGGCCAGCTCTTGCACAGCCTGATCTGTCCTGGTCTTTGGACCGGGGGCTCTCATTTCTTTCCTCCCTCAGTTTGTTTTGGCCACTTTGGTGCAGGATTGTTTTATGAATGCCTTGTTTTTGGTGGCTTTGGCTTCTGAGGGTCGGGTTGGGGGGTTTTGGTCCTGGAGGCCATTTTGTTCGTTTGCAACCCTCTCATTTTCGGGCGAAGAATGAGACGGCTTCCAGAGGGGTTTGTTGGTGATAGATGCTTGGTTGCTTAGGCTGGGGGTGCATCGTATCTTATGCTCAGTGGTGGCTTTATGTCGCCATTGGTTACCTGTGGGCCACTGGTTTGGTGACATTAGAAGTGCTCTGGGTGGATCCAGTTTCCCTGGTTCCCTGTTCCTGGGTTTGTGTGTCTCAGGTTATCCGCAATGTCATATAATCTAGCCAGCCTGCAGTTTATCCTCGTGTCACGATGTGCGGAAGTATGCTGCTCTAGTCGCTGTCTTTTGGAGTATGTCTTGGGTCGACATTCGGGCGTGGGGGTTTTGGAGTCCTGGTGACCTGGGTCCTGGCCACCAGGTATCTAGTGAACATTCTGGGCCCTTTCCGGTCTTGTGCTGCTTTGGGATGTCTGTTGCGGCCTGATGTTTTTTCTTTGTTTTGAGATCTGCGGTGCTGCTGCCTCAAGGGTAAGTCCCTATTTTGCTTATCTGTTGGTAGTTAGCTTCAGAGAGCCGACAGGGCTCCCCCACAGAAAACCAGCGTTGAATGTAATGAAACACCATTTTCTGGGTGAGCCCCTGGAGGCTTCCCTCCCTCCAGTCGGCATTTTTCATTATTCTAGAACTGAAGGGGTGAACTGTCTCGCCTGAGCTGGGCCCCCTTCCCGGGGGGAGGGGGGCAGTTTTGATTCACTATGATTGATTCACCTGTGATTTGATTCAATATGATTGAGTCACCTGCTTTTGATTCAAGGTCTGTTTTGATTCACCTAACTTTCTGGGTGCCTTCCCTGGTTGATGGCAAGATGACATACTTTAAGTGTAAAGTGTTCATGGACCATTGCTCCCTGCACCTCTCTGAGAGGGCCAGGTTCTGGTTCGTGGTCCTTGATAGGCATACAAGAACTCTGTGACTGATGACTCCAAGTAGTATGGCACTTAATCGGTATAGATGGCTTCAGGGAGCCTTGGGGGCTGATCCCAGAAACTGCCGTTTCATTACTGTACATTCAACCCTGTTTTTTTTTTTATAAATATTTAGCCATGTAGCAGGTGGGCAGTGCCAAAAATCATAGTGGGGGGGGGGTCTGAATGTGGCCTTGGCACAATGTTCCCTTATGAATTCTGGCAACCCCCAACCAGCCTATGTTCGTCCCATATCCCCAGACCATTCCCTCTGCCAATTTGGGTTAGGCTAGCACAAAATGTGTGGCCTCCAACTTCAAATAAAGACAGACAGACACATTCTCTCTTATACTATTGTATAGATTAGTTCACTCAATAATGTATTTGGTAAAATAAAAAAGGCAAATTCATGGTGCTGAGTTTTAAATTATTTTTCATTATAATACAATATATCATATTGTATATTGTTGTGTGGTATACTTGCCTGCTCTATGTACTGTATAACATTAGATGTTATCTCAAAAATATTCCTTGTTCTGTGAAATCATGTTATAGTGTACCATGAGAAAGTACAAAGCATTGTTAGTAAACAATGTACTTAACTTAACATTCAAATGTGGTTATTGTTTATTTTTTTGCTTCAATTTATGGTATTTATTCTTTGCCACAGGGAGGCTGAGGGTTTGAAGAGTCGTCTGAATAATTGTACCCAACTAGTGGGGAACAATGAGGCCTGGGCTGTCCAACACCAACTTCAGGTTTGTTAAGCAGATCACTTTGTTGACTGTGGCCTGTGTAACACTTTCATTCTGGATGAAGAAAAACATGTCTCTCCAGCTCCGTAATGTTTCAAACTCTTAAACTAATTTAAATTTTAGAATGTTGAAAATCATTTGAAAAGTGGGAAGATCAAAACAAAGCATAAATTCGCAGGCGATGAGTCACAATAACGTGGCTGAAGTATGTTGACCAATCCACACACAAGAGAATGATGGGACGATGACGTTTCGGTCCGTTCTGGACCATTTTCAAGTCGATCAAGTCGATAAGTCAAGTCGGTAGACATTCGACTTGAGAATGGTCCAGGACAGATCGAAATGTCGTCGTCCCTTCATTCTCTAGTGTGTGGATTGGTCAAAACAAAAAGCATAAATTCACTTATTACTGTAAATGGCAGATTTTTATTTATAAAAATCCTTGTGTTTATTAATATTATTCTTTATTTTATACCACATTTTGGCAGTAGGACAAATATTTCAAACAAATTTCTGAGGGAAGGTCTGTTGGCTCCCTGAATCCTCAGGAAGCCTCCGGGGCTCACCCAGAAACTGGCGTTTCATTACTTTCAACGCTGGTTTTTTGATTTGTCTAAAATTGTAATTATTGTTCGCAAGAACAGGTTAATTTCAGAGCTTGATCCTTCAGTTGCTCTCCAGAGCCTCAATAGTCCACCCAGGATTCAATTCATTTTCCAGGCTCTGTTAAAACAAAATTTTATGACTTTTTTTCATTTTGAGTTTGACTACGTTTCCACTTCAAGTCGTGGAACTACTGTACCTTTGAAAATTATGATTTTGGGGCTGGGCCATGGAAAAGCTTGGGAAGGATGGGGAAGCTCCTTATTCTATTTCTTGTTATTATCCATTATATGAGAATTTTAATTTAAGGTTTCACTCTATATATTCAGCTATGGAGCAAGCAGAAAAAGTGAAGGCAAATAAAAAAAATTAAAATTTTTATATTCTAAATGCTTTGTTTATTTATTATTATTGTGTAAAAATGCACAATGTTGTGGTAAGATTACCCCCAAAACATTTGGTAATAGTTAATAGCAAATACCATACTGTATAGTGAAAAGTTATTAACTTTGGATGCAACAGAAATCCATTTACTGCTTAACCACTGCACTGCATTAAAATATGACACCCCTGTGCACAGAAAATAAATTATTTAAAAAAAAATATTTTATCTTCTTATACAGTATTGTTAAAATGCAGTCTCTGATCACGGGGAAACTAAAATAAAATATTGTATGTGACATACTTTAGCCGTGATGGAGGTGAGAAGTTTAGCAAATTATGGGCGCTGAGTGATGAGGCGCTCGGGGACACTTAACCCTGCCACCCCGTGGGGTGGCAGTTGTCGCGAATGTAATTTTTAAAAATTATTTCAATGTGTCTCATTCGTTTCTTCTGGTTGATACCTGGTTGATACCTGGTTGATGGGGTTCTGGGAGTTCTTCTACTCCCCAAGCCCGGCCCGAGGCCAGGCTCGACTTGTGAGAGTTTGGTCCACCAGGCTGTTGCTTGGAGCGGCCCGCAGGCCCACATACCCACCACAGCCCGGTTGGTCCGGCACTCCTTGGAGGAATAAATCTAGTTTCCTCTTGAAAATGTCCACGGTTCTTCCGGCAATATTTCTTATGCTTGCTGGGAGGACGTTGAACAACCGCGGACCTCTGATGTTTATACAGTGTTCTCTGATTGTGCCTATGGCACCTCTGCTCTTCATTGGTTCTATTCTACATTTTCTTCCATGTCGTTCACTCCAGTACGTTGTTATTTTACTGTGTAGATTTGGTACTTGGCCCTCCAGTATCTTCCAGGTGTATATTATTTGATATCTCTCTCGTCTTCTTTCTAGTGAGTACATTTGGAGGGCTTTGAGACGATCCCAATAATTTAGGTGCTTTATTGCGTCTATGCGTGCCGTATATGTTCTCTGTATTCCCTCTATTTCAGCAATCTCTCCTGCTTTGAAGGGGGAAGTGAGTACTGAGCAGTACTCAAGACGGGACAACACCAGTGCCTTGAAGAGTACAACCATTGTGATGGGATCCCTGGATTTGAAAGTTCTCGTAATCCATCCTATCATTTTTCTGGCTGTCGCAATATTTGCTTGGTTATGCTCCTTAAACGTTAGGTCGTCAGACATTATTATTCCCAAATCCTTTACATGCTGTTTTCCTACTATGGGTACATTTGATTGTGTTTTGTACTCTGTATTATGTTTAAGGTCCTCATTTTTACCGTACCTGAGTACCTGGAATTTATCACTGTTAAACATCATGTTATTTTCTGATGCCCAGTCGAAAACTTTATTAATATCAGCTTGAAGTTTTTCAATGTCCTCAGCCGAGGTAATTTCATACTGATTTTTGTGTCATCTGCAAAGGATGATACGAAGCTGTGACTTGTATTTTTGTCTATATCTGATATGAGAATAAGGAAAAGCAGTGGTGCAAGGACTGTACCCTGAGGTACAGAGCTTTTCACTGCACTTGGACTAGATTTTATATGGTTGACAGTTACTCGCTGAGTCCTGTTTGACAGAAAACTGAGTATCCAGCGTCCTACTTTACCGGTTATTCCCATTGACTTCATTTTGTGTGCTATCACGCCATGGTCACATTTATCGAAGGCCTTTGCGAAGTCCGTGTATATCACATCAGCATTCTGTTCCTCTTCTAATGCCTCAGTGACTTTGTCGTAGTGCTCAAGTAGCTGTGAGAGGCACGATCTTCCCGCTCGAAATCCATGTTGGCCTGGGTTATGAAGGTCATTGGTCTCCATGAAATTGGTGACCTGACTCCTAATCACTCTCTCAAATACTTTTATGATGTGCGATGTTAGTGCAACTGGTCTATAATTTTTTGCCAATGCTTTGCTCCCTCCCTTGTGTAGAGGGGCTATGTCTGCTACTTTAAGTGCATCTGGTATCTTCCCCGTGTCCAAGCTCTTCCTCCACACTATACTGAGTGCCTGTGCTACCGGCACTTTGCATTTCTTTATAAATATTGAATTCCATGAGTCTGGACCTGGGGCCGAGTGCATGGGCATGTTTTCAATTTCTTTTTCAAAATTTAGTGCGCTCGTGTTTATATCAGTTATATTTACCGGGGTTTGAATATCCCGCATAAAGAAATTGTCTGGATCTTCCACCTTCATGTTGTTTATTGGAGTGCTAAACATGTCCTCATACTGCTTTTTTAGGATTTCACTAATTTCTTTGTCATCCTCCGTGTATGAACCTTCACTTGTACGAATAGGTCCAATACTGGCAGAGGTTTTTGCTTTTGATTTCGCATATGAGAAGAAATATTTTGGATTTTTCTTTATTTCCTGAATTGCTTTCTGTTCTAACTGCCTTTCTTCAGTTTCATATGAGTGTTTCAATTTCCGCTCAATTTCTTCAATCTCCCTATTTAAATTATTCCTTCTTTGACGGGAAATTCGTGTCTGCATAAGCAGTTCCGTTATTTTTTTCCTGCGTTTATAGTGTCGTCTGCGTTCTCTTTCTACGTTAGATCTCTTTCTGGCTTTCCTCAAAGGAACATGTTTCAGACAGACTTGATACGCTTCTGAAGTAAGTTTTTCTATTCCTTCTGTAGGACTTGTATTATTTAGAACAGTTCCCCATGGAATGTTTGTAAGTTCCCTGTTTATTATCTCCCAGTCTATCCTTTTATTATTAAAGTTGAATTTACTGAATAGCCCCTCTCGCTTTATCAACGTTTTAAGTCTATTCTGAGTATTGATGGTCGTTTGCACTTCAATGAGTTTGTGATCTGAGTATGTGGTATCTGATATCGTAATGTCTCTGATAATGTCTTCATTGTTCGTAAAGACCAGATCTAGAATATTTTCATTTCTCGTTGGCTCCGATATCTGCTGATTGAGTGAAAATTTGTCACAGAATCTAAGTAGTTCTCTAATCTGTGGTTGGTTAGGTCCTGATAGATTTCCTGGTATAATATTATTGTTTGCTATTTTCCACCTGAGACTAGGCAAGTTGAAGTCACCTAGGAAAATAATATCAGGTATCGGGTTCTCCAAATTATCAAGGCTATTCTCTATTTTGCTTATCTGTTCTGTGAATTCCTCAGCCGTTGCATCTGGCGGTTTGTATATTAGTATAATCACTAAATTTATTTTCTCTATTTTTAATCCCAGTACCTCTACCACCTCATTTGTAACGTTTAGGAGCTCCGAGCATACAAGGTCTTCCCTAATATACAGACACACTCCTCCATGTGACCTAATTTTCCTATCACACCTGTATAGGTTATATCCTGGAATCCAGATCTCACTGTCCAACAATTCCCCTGCATGGGTTTCTGTGAAAGCTCCAAATACTGCATTTGACTCCGTGAGGAGGCCATTTATGAACTGTACTTTGTTGTTTGTTCTTGCTTCTCTTGTTTTCTTGTTGTAGCATTATTAAAAATCATGTAATTTGTGGAATTTATATAGTTCAATGTGTGGAACATCGCTATGCTCAAAAGTATGGAGCTCATATATGGTGACATGTATATTATATTCAAAGATCAATCAGTGTTTTTGCTGTTATTATACTATATACACATGTATATAACTATCTACTTTTTTGTGCACCATAATGAACAACAAAGATCGTGTGTTGAGAGTTTATACTCGTCAAACACACACCGAAACTACGACATTGGTACAACGTTCGAACAAGTTTTAACACCTCCTAACCAGTTATAACAACCAATATAGCAAGTTGTAACAACGTTCTAATATGTCCTAAATACGTTAAGCCAAGATGTAACAACTTTATTACAAGTTGTAACAAGCGGAAAATAAGAGACAGTTTTGATTTGTGTTTCCAGGGTATACAGTACACAGAACAAGAGTCCAAGGTCAGCCTAGCACCCGAGAGCTGAGTTTGGCAAGGGCTGCCCCAAATACATTTTTACATAATTATTTCAATGTCTGTGAATGGGTTTTATATCTAGTTTTTGTAATAATATTATTCAATGGTGTGTAATATGTCGAATTTATATAGTTAAGTGTGTGGAACATTGCTATTTGTAAAAATATGGAGCTCATATATATGGTGACTCACATAATATATTCTTTCATCGACCAAACAGTGTTCCTGTTGTTATTATGCTATATACACACACATTATATATCACTATCAACATTTATATGCACCATATCAAACTAATAAGCAGTTCTGGTGGGTGTGGTGATGAAATCAAAACACAGCATGGAGCCACAAGCAGACATCGTCATCAGTCACATGATGCAAGACAATGCCTCCAATATTTTACACATCTCACTATGACTAGCTACAAAACTGCTGTTATTATCACATTACTGTCACAAAATCTTGAATATGTAATCATTTCCATAAGAAAATGAACATTAATGAAGGAACATAAAGTCGTTTCATGATGTGTAGATGCCGGAAACAATGGCTGGGTGCTATGTGTGTATGAATATCTCATGCTGTGACTATCATAACTAATATTGTATTCACTGATATATGAACGTTATACACAGTCTTTATCACAGTCAGGATCATCTATGACACTATTAAAGCAAAATAATATGTTTTTATATGGTATATATAAATTGTATATATACAATATAAATAATTATATAAATACAAATATAAATATAAATACAAATATAAATATAAATACAATATAAATAAATGAATAATTTATATATACAATTTTATATTGTATATATAAAATATTATAAATATATAATATTTCATTCATTACCAAGTGGTGCTGGTGTCCCTAGCTGCACAATGGTGCTGTGCGCCGCTCTGGCATGCACCAGCCTTGGTTGCTCTCTCTCAGTACTAAGGCTCTCACAGCCAGCATGGATGCTGACAATTTTGTTTCAAGGTGGCGTCTGTTTACAGGCATCCTGAGGCACAGGATGTGAGCCCGTGTACCCACGGGAGTTTTGAATTGCTCTCTATACCTAAAAACGCTGTATGGCGCTCTGTCCACCTCCAATCGGGCACCTGGAGGCGCTCTGCACAGTGCATTGGTTATATGGGTCCTCCAGTTTAAAACTGTCTTAAGTGGGAGTTCAATGAACACTTGTATACTTAAAATCTATTATTTTTCCTCTGTAGATCCTTTATTGCCTGTAAATTATTTTAGTAGGCAATTGGCACTCAACTGTATTACTGTACTTTATAAAGGATGTTTTGAGTTTTAGCCAATTAGATTTTCTTACTCTTGTATGTGGACAGTTTCACAGCTGCACTCATTGTACACAATGCTTGAATTCCTAAACACTGCTCTTTTCAGGTGGTGTGTGGGCAGCTTCTGGTGCACTGGATTGAGTCGGCCTTGGATCATGGGGTGGAGCGCGACCTGTGGAACCTGGGCTTTAGGAACACCATAACACAACTCCAAGCTCAAGCAAAGGATAAACAGGTGTGTAAACTGATTGATGGGCAAGCAATATTATTGTGTGTTTAACTCCTTGTGCTTAACTTCATGTCATCCTTTGCAGATACAAAAATCAGCATGAAAATTACTTGTGTAGAAGACAGAAAAACTACAAGCCGATATTAATAAAGTCTTGTGATTGGGCAAAGGAAAATAACATGATGTTTAACAGTGGTAAGTTCCTGGTACTGTACTTAGGTATGGTAGAAATGAAGAACTTAAACAAAATACATGGTACTAAACACAAACAGATCTACTCATAGATGGAAAACATCATGCCTGGTGGACCAAACTCTCACAAGTCAAGCCTGGCCTCAGGCCGGGCTTGGGGAGTAGAAGAACTCCCAGAACCCCATCAAGCAGGTATCATGTAAAAGGTCTGGGAATTGTGATGTCTGACGACCTTATGTTAAGTGAACATAACCATGCAAATATATATAGTATCGGCCAAGAAGATGATTGGTTGGATTATGAGAATGTTCACATCCAGGGATACCACCACAAAGTTAATACTATCTAAATCACTGGTGCTGTCCTGTCTGGAGTACTGCTCAGTAGTCACTTACCCTTTCGGAGCAGGAGAGATTTCTGAAATAGTGGGAATACAGAAAACATATTCAGCTCAAATATACATGGTAAGGCATCTAAATAATTGGGACCATCTCAAGCTCTCAAAATGTACTCTCTGGAAAGGAGATGAGAGAGATCTCAAGTAATATATACCATGAAGATACTGGAAGGCCAGATCCCAAATTTGTACAGTAAAATAACATACTAGAGTAAAAGATATGGAAGGAAATGCAGAATGAGGAGTAGAGGTGCCATAGACACAATTAGAGAGCACTGATGAACATCAGAAGTCCACAGCTGTTCAATAGCTGTGGACAGCTGTTCACAACTGTTCAAAACAAAGGTTGACTTCTTCAAGGAGCAAATAGATAAATTCCTGCAAGAAGTGCTGTACCAACTGAGTTATAGTGAATACGTAGGCCTGCAGGCCATTCCTAGCAACTGCCTGTTGGATCAATTTATCACTAGTTAAGGTTGGCCCCAGACCAGGCTTGGGGAGTAGCAGAACTCCCAGAACCCTCTTCTGGTAAATTCTACATGCAGAGACCTTCCCAGACATTTCTGTGAGAGGGTAGATTTTCCAGCCCAATCTCATGTCTGAAGAAATGCTTGCAACTGCTTTCAATGGGAAACTTCCTTATTATATAATTATGTTCATGTTTGGTGTCATTGCGATTCTTACCTTCTCCAGATTCAAGATATCATCACTCTGTGTATCTGTCTCATCTGATTGAGTGACAGTCTGTGAGATTGGATTGTTGACTAGATGTAGAACTCTAGAAGGGCAGTGGAGCAATTTGTGCTACAGAGTGGTAATGGGGGGTGAGAGAGTGTTAGGAGCTTGGGACAAGGAGGACAGTTGAGTGTTCCCTCACATTCCATCCCCTTCCCCCTTACTCCCTCAAAATGCATGGCAACACTGTAGGCCTGGTAGAGGGCCTCAGCTATTCTTTGGTGGGAAGATGGTAGTGGTGCCTCCAGCAATGAAAACTTTGCCTTAGTAAACCTTGTTCAAGCTGATTTGCTATGTTGTGAAGTTGAACAGGGCCCATTACCTCTGCTGGCAACAAGGATATTAATTTGGGCTTGTTACCTGGGAAGGGGGTAGATGTACATTTGTATCAGCTGTCAAAATGGTATACATCCCTTATGTCCAGTATATACTGAGTGCCCAGTCTAGTCTGTTGAGTCACCGAGATTGAATCACTGGTTACTAATAGGCATAATTGGAAGAAATCAAGTGATTGGTGGGGATGTGGAGTTTGTTCTCTGAGTGAAATGAAGAAGAGTTTATTTCCCAGATGTGAGTGACAAGATACTGTGAGGTGAAATCACTAGTGTTTGAGTACTGTAGTGAGATAAATGGTTGTTGCATTGGCTTGGAAGAAATATATTATCTCTCTTAAGTGTTAACGCCATGTGCATTGTGACAGAGTAGTAAAGAACTTGAGGGGTGGAGAGTAGTCTACATTGTTGTCAAAATAACATTAGCTGGAGGTTGAGCCTGCCACATGTTTTAACTAACAAGAGGGCTTCCTTACCAAATGTGGTCAGCACTGAATGGTGCAGGAATACTAAACTAGGATTTCCTACTGCAGGCTGCTACATCATTTACCTGGGCCACAGGAGGCTAAGCATGTGGGTGCATCAGAGATTGTTTGAGTGCTGCTAGTGTGGTCAAGATGAGCTTGTCCAGTACAGTAGTGGGAGTGATAGACAAAAGGTACTTTGTCCATTACTGTGTCTAGAAACCCCAGGCTGGAAGTTGTAAGATAAGCCTTCCTTGCCTGCCACATCACATGTCAGCCATGGTCATGTATCACCACCATTGGTAGAGTCAAAACAGTGGGCAGGCCACAGCAGGCTACATTGTGCATGACACCCCTACAACTTCAACTACCACATCATCTACGAGTACCACAGGCATCCACCCTTATGTCTATATCAGAGTCGGGACGAGTGAGCGGAATAAAAGCATGAGTTAAGGATCCTAGTAGCATTATCTGAGCTTTAGAAACTTAGTATTGTGTAATCTCATGTGTGGTGATTTTAAACTAATGACCCTGTCATGAGAACCAAACAATGCTTGCACGAGTATTGGTTCATCAGAGATATTTGGAAAGTGTTTGTCACTGTGTCTCTTGTTAGAGCCACTGTGAGAACCTTTCAAAATGTCACGCCTTAACCAAGGGGGACTGCATATGATTGATTTGACACATTCAGATTAGATCTTGTGATAGAAGAAGTGACATTCTTCTGAGTATCATGTAGCATTTAGGTGTTATTTGTTTCATTGTTTCATGCCCATTTATTACAGTCCTAAGAACCAGTTTGGCCTCCTGTGTTTTCTATTATTGATTGCAATAATAGTTGATTGGGAGGCTGTGTGGCTCCATATACTAGCTAATTACCTTAGTGTTACCTAAGTGTAACTTAGGTAAGTAGCTAGTATATGGAGCCACATTGCCTCTGAATCAACTTGACCAGCTCTGTGGGAAAGAATTCCTGCTGAGTGGTTGCTAGTGTTATCATGAAACTTTTCCAAGTAAGGTTTTCCATTGATGTGAATAACGATTAAGACAAATATTGAACATCATGTAAGAAACTAGTGTTTCCATTAGACCTATCTTTTGGTAATACTGTATTGACTGTTCCTTGTTTCTATTGCTGGCAGACATTCAAAATTCAAAATTCGATGAGGCTCTATATATTGAGCTCCCTGCATTACAATGTGAGAGATAATAAAGAACAAAAGACTCTTGAAGGAGCATAAAGTGCTTTGAAGGAGCATCTGAAACATTTTGTCATGCAATTATATGTGCTCATTTGGTTATCTTAGCAGTGAAACAACCATCGTTTAGACAGGTGTTGATAGATGGTGATATGAAAGAAAGGCACAATTAATGGAGTGGTAGGAGGGGTGAAATGCATGAACAACATTTCAATGGCTCTTTAAAGGTTGGGTGAATGAAACAAACTAACATGGATTATGGTGTAAATGGAGACAAAATCAGAACCATCAATGGAGGAAAAGGGGGTACCTCCTTTCTGACAAGGTCAACAAATTTGTAGTCCTAGATTGATGAACCACCATTTCCTAGCACTCAAAAGTCATTACTGTGATAATCTAACATTTGTAAATTATGCTTGAGCGCTTGATAACTGTTCACATCATATTTGTTTCCTCTATATGTACTGTATTTCTGGAGGGACCTCTTAGTAGCTCCCGAACTCTGATACCACCAAGCCTTAGCCCAACACTCCATAGCCTACTGGGAACCAGGATTAAGATCTGGCTCACTGAATAAAGTGAGGGGAGCAGGGGATCAAAAATCAACCACAAAGCTGGGAAAATCCACCCGAAAGCATAAGGGCCATTAAATATGCAACTGCTCGAAGGAGGTTAACCACCTCTAAGTAAACAATGTGATCCTTGCTGTGGGTTAAAGATCCGAACTGGGATGTGCCACACTACAGAGATTAGAAGGGTTGCAGAGGCCTGTTATTGGGGCTAGGGGAGTATCAGAGTGAAGTTTGAGTAATCAATGGGGGGGACACATTAAAAAGTCCATTTCATTACATGTAAAGATTGATTGAGGAAAATGGCATGTACACGTAATTAGATTAAGAAATAACCCTAAGTTGCAAACTTTAAGTTGAAGATCCACATAAAATATTACATGCTGAATAAGTGGATTTAGGAAATGTATATGGAATTTAGATGTTCATACAAGATTCAAGTTTCTTTACATTGTTTGTTATAGACACAGACATTTAAAGCAAATAGAAATTAGAGGTTACTAAATATAAACTAAGCTGTAGGTGAGTTTCTGATTATTAGGGCCACTAAATTTATGAAAGAAATATTTAGTGGAATATATGAAGTGATTTCAAATACAAATTTTATATTTGCAGGGAAGTTCAAGTGAGGTCCGTGATATGTTGAGTTGGTTCCTCAACTCGGCCAGTGGCTTCTACTTGCAGCTTTTCAATCAAATATGCGCCGAGTATGGCCTCGATTTGCCATTTCGAAGGTTAGTGTTGGTTATTTTGTGCAGCTAGTCAGGATGTCAGCTACAGGCATTGGGTAACAGGGAATAGGTTCAGTATATGAGTGAGAAGCTCCAGATCAATCAGGTTGTACTGGATATGAGAGCCTGCAGGCCACTCCAAACTTCTCCAAACAACAAATTTGTTGGAGAAGTCCAGGCTGGCCCTGGCTGGACTTTACAAGTAAAACTCCCAGAATCCCCTCCAGGTACAATCACGGTACAAAGAGTGGTTTTAAACAGGACCTGCCTGGATTTGACCAATGGGCATGTTGGGGTGCTCCCTTATAAATCATTTCAGCAATCTTGTTTCAAATAGGTAATATATGTAGAGATAATATTTTGATTTGTAATCTTAAAATGAGAACTGGTAGTTTTCTGTGCTGTGTTTATTATGTTATTGAATATGATTTTGTTAGAAATTTTCTGGGGGGAGCCTTTTGAGGCTCCCTGCGGCTATTATCGTTGATTCAGTGCCATACTACTAGGTGCCATCAATCAGATTTCTGTTGGCCTACTGAGGATCACCAGTTAGAACCTGGCCCCCTCAGAGAGGCGCAGGGAGTGATGGCCTATGAACATTTTACATCTAAAGTTAATCACAATTGCCACCACTGGGGAAGCACCCAGAGAGTTAGGCAGAACAAAACAGACTACTGCATGGTTAAAATGTGACTGCAGCCTCAAAAAATTGGCAAAAGAACTCGCCCAACAATGAAAACCACCAAATTTTATGAAACTAGTATGAGCTAGTTTGACCCCCCCCCCCTCCCCCTCTTGTTTGGGGGGGAAGGAGGGAGGTGGATCGGGTCAGCCGGGCCACTCCACCCCTTCTCACCATGCTCCAGTGATGGGGAGGGAAATTATGGTCATTAAGATGAGATCTTTCAAAAGAAGACAGAGAAGCTGAAATGGAACCTCATTGAAGCAAAACATTTAAGCAGGAATAAAGAAGAAATAAATATTTTTTGAGGGGAGTCCCGTCGGCTCCCTGAAGCTATCAGAATGATATTAGTTATACTAGTCTGAGGCTTCAGTCAATTGGAGTTCTGCTTACTGGGGACCACAAGCCAGAATCTGGCCCCTCAGAGAGGCACGAGGAGCAATGTCTTATAGAAACCCCCATGTGGTTGGAAGCATTCTATGTCTGCTATCGACCGGGTCAGACACCCAGAAAGGTAAGCATCCCAAAACAAACCGCTATCTTGTTAAGAAATTACTACTGAGAGCCGAACTAGTGGACAGAACTCCCCAAAGAAAAACAAGCAAGTGAGCATGACGTCACCACGTTGCCGCACCACCATCTGCTCTGGGGAGTGGGGAGGGGGAGCCCCAAACCCCTTGTGCCGGCTACCCACGGCCCCATTTCTGAGACTGGATATCAAAAACATGCGAAAAACCACCCGGAGGGAGGGAGGGAGGGGTGCCGGGGAGTCACTGGTCTCACCCAGAAATTGGAGTTTTATTACATTCAATGCTGGTTTTCTTGGGGAAGCCCCGTCGGCTCCCCGGAGCTACTTACCAAAAGACAAAAACAAGAGGGACTTACCCGGGAGGCCATTGTTGCTCGCTCCTCAACGCGAAGCTGAGACCACTGGCTGCAACTGCCGACCCAAAACGACACAGGCCCAATGAGGCCCAGGAACATTAACTAGGTAATGTGCAGCCAGGACGCTGTTCGACCGCCAAAAACTCCGCACCCAAATGACAGCCCAAAACATGTTGCCAAAGACGGCAACAAGAGCAGGAAACTTATGAACATCATGGGCATGGTGATAGACCACAGGCTGGATGGACCGAATAATCCTGCGGACAACCTGAGAGACCCGCACCCTGGAACAGGGAAGAAGGGAAACCGGATCAACCCAAAGTGCGTCCCTGGACACTGAAGTCGTGGCGTGCAAATATCGGCGGAGAGCCACTACTGGAAACAACACACAATGCATCCCCAGCCTGACCAACCAAGCATCAACAACCCAAGGACCCCTCCGGAAAGCAGCCGTCTCTTTCTTCGCCAGAAAAGAAAGTGACGGCTGCAAGCGAACAAACCTATCACGAGGATCAAAAGAGCAGAAAACCCCTGCGCCGGAGGAAAACGTGAAGCTCCCCGACCCGACCCCCAGAGGCCAATGCCAACAAGAAAGGAACCTTGGAAAACAATCCAGAACCAAAGGGGCCACAACAAGCCGAGGAGAAGAGAGAAAAGAAAGCACCCGATCCAAGGACCAGGACGGCACAGGCAGTGCATGAGCAGGCTGGAGGTGAAACAACGCACGAGACAGCTTGCGAAACGGAACCAAAGTAACATCAATACCAAAAGCAAGCTGTAACGGCTCCGCCGGCGCCGTACAATGTGAGGCAACAGTATTAGGCATAAGATGATGGTACTGAAACAACCACGAGAGAAAGGATAAGACAACCCTAACCGAGAGCGAAGAATACCTACGAAGCGAGAGAAAGAAATGAAAGGACCGCCAAGAAACTTCATGCTGCTGCCGAGAGGAAGCCTGCAGGTGGGACACCACCAAGGACGTCACCTGAGCATCATACAGGTGGTGATAGACCCAAGTCAAAAAGATCATACGCCAAGACTCGAGGAGAAGATCAAACCAGCCACGTGATGGACCGGATCGATCTGCTGAAAGAGGCAGAGCCGCGGGAAAACCTTCGGGGTTCGGACACTGAGTATGCAGCGCCTGAAACCAAGGCTGGACCGGCCAACAAGGGGCCGAGAGGACTACTCTTCCCTGGTAAGTCTCCAAGCGACCCAGCACCCTGGAGCAACAGCTGAACCGGGGGGGGAAGAGTTACAGGAACCCCCACCTCAACCAGTCCTGCTGAAAGGCATCGACTCTGATGGTGTCGCAATCAGGGAAGAGGAAGTCCTCTCGGACTTCGAGTCCTCTCGGACTTCGAGTCCTCTCGGACTTCGAGTCCTCTCGGACTTCGAGTCCTCTCGAAGAATATACAGGCAGACACCTTGACCACGCCAACACGAAGAGGTCCACATCCGGGTGCCCGAACATCTGGCAGAGCCAACTGAAGGAGTCGGCGTCGACCGTCCATTCCGTGGACAGGGGAACGAACCGAGAAAGGCCATCCGCCAGAACGTTGGACAGCCCCAGAACGTCAACCACCAGGAGAGCCAAACCCTGAGAACTCGGCAGACCAGTGACCAGCCCAAAAGAGCCAAGGACCATATCGAACCCCTGCGGTTCAGACAATGAACCACTGGGAGCAGTACAAATGGAATGGGATCGTCGATCCACTGGCGACCCGAACCCTCCGAAGAGAATACCACACTGCCGCAAACTGCCGCACCGCTCTGTGGGCTTGACGAAGGACGGACCCCACCACCCCTGGCTGGCCTGGTGTGCACTGGTCACAAAGCCCCAGCCCAGAGACGACGCGTCCATGAATACATCGAACGAGGGCTCAGGTAGGCGCCAATGCACTGAACCCCGAAAAGCCTGAAGAGGAAGCCGGTGATGCAGCAACCGACACAAGGCCCCCGGTGGACGAACCCAGCAATCGCAAGAGAGGCCGAAGGGGTGGCTCTGAAGAAACCAGAACAGCTGACGAAGCCAAACCCGACCCGGTATGAAGACCATCACGGCAAAGTTCGAGCTCCTGCACAAACCCTCGAGCAACCACCGAGTAACCCAGGAGACCCCCAGAAACAGGCAAAGGCAGGACTGCAGCCGAAGGAGAGAGACTGGAGAGAGAGACAAGGAAGCGGTCCGAGTCCCAAACAAGACCCAGCCAAGTCCGGACCTGGGAGGAAACCAAATGGGACTTCCTCCAGTTCACCAAGAATCCGAAGCTGGGAAAGAACCAAATTCCTGGCGAACAGACAAGCGCACCAGCTGGGAACCCAGATCAGCCAGCCGTCGAGGTAGGCCAACACCCAAACACCTAAGAGACGCAGGCAGGGCACCATAACCCAAGTAAAGCGTGTGAAAACGCGAGGTGCCAGGTTTAACCCAAACGGGAGACAACAAAAGCGGTAATTTTGACACCCCACAACAAAACCGAGCCAGTCCCTGAACCCCAGATGAATCGGGACATGTCATTACGTGTCCTGGAGGTCCAAGGATACCATTCAAGCGCCCGGCTCCAACAGAAGCCGGACTTGGGACAGAGTAGTCATCTGAAAGGAGGGGCAATGAACCCAGGGGTTCAGACGGTACAAGTCAAGAATGAACCGCAGGTCCGCACAGTCCCGTATCAGAACTGGAAGCAGACGGGAAACCCATCTGAGATATGTCGTCATTTCATCCACGCCCAAGTGCACTCACTCCAAGATGTCCCGACAAAGTACAGGAGAAGAGGCTTACCCTGCGAGCCCCGAGCCCTGAGCCCCCTAAAGGAGGCAGGGCCACCCAATGCCATCGCTGGCCGTCGGAAACGACCCAAAAAGTCCACAAATTGTGGGACCAGGTGTGAGTGGACAGAGCAAGTCTCCCTCCCATCACCCTGTCAATGGGACGAACCGCGAAAGGGCCAACTCCCCTTACGAGAACCTGAGCTCCAAACAGAGCGAACACAGCGCCGACCAGATGAAGAGAGGTCTGCAGGCGGCGCTAGCTCCAAAACTGGCACCATTGGCCTATCACGACAAGTGGGACCTGGAGCCCTGGCACGATCCCTCTGGGAAGCAACCCCCCCCCCCCCTGAAAACCAACAAGTTGGACATCGGACGACAGCTAGCCGAAGCCGCCTGCAGATACTGCGCCATCACAGAATCAGCAAACAGTAAGGGACAAAAAGGCGAAGACATTCTAAGAGCCAGAGCCCAAGCAGATTCCAAGGAGGAAGCAAGCACTGCCTGCTGACACACGAGCCAGGAGGCATAAAACAGTGACACCGCATCCCGCAGGATCGGCAGAAACACCTTCAACAAGGCAGACGAAAAATGCCCCGCCGATCCCAAGGCGCTAGACCCAGGAGCGCCTCCACATCCTCCTCAAGCCAGTCCGCAGACTGCTCCAGGCAGGAAAATAAATGCAAGGCCGCAGTCAGCAGGCTACGAATGCGCAAGTCCTCGGCAATCAGTGCAGCCAAAAGGGAGGAAACTGGCACGTGAATCTGCCTGACGCCCACATCCTGAGGATGGGCAGGAGCAAGCAAGCACTCACTGAGGTGCTCAAACTCACCTCCCAGGAAAACCTGGACCACTGTCAACAACTTGCACCACTCGAGCATGTGGGAATGACAAAGTATGCCACGCCTCCAAAGCAAAAGCAGGACAGTCCGCCAGCCAGGACGACTCCAGGACCTCGTAATGAATGCAGTAGGGAAATGAAGACCCAAACCTGAATGTAGACGGATCCATAATAGAGGCGTAATCTGGGCCGCACAGGAGGTAAGCCACAAAGGCGTCCTGCACCACAGGAGGCGGGATGTGGGAAGCCGAAAACCTCCGTAAGACGGGACCGAAGCACCTGAAGGGACACGGAACCAAACCCGGGGAGGGGTAGACACCAAATCCAATTCATACACAGAGGGGGGGTGGGGGAGAAAACCCTACTCCTTGTAACAGTAAGCCCCGCTCAGAGGGTAGAAAAACCCAAGCGGGGTCCAACTGGGCCCAAGTCAGCCCCTCCCCTACCTTGGAAACTACCACATCAGGCCCCAGAGCTGAGTCATCTCCCAAAGCTCCGGCCTCAAAAGAAAGGGCCGGCTCAGCCGTAGAAGCCGGAAGAAAGGGGGCCCACTGGTCAGACCCAGATGCTTTGGCAGGGAGGAAAGACTCGAATACCTCCGTCACCAACCCTGAAGGGGCATTCCCCGAGACCGCCTGAGTCCGAGACCAATAAGTGCTGTCGGGTCGTTGGGGATATAGCCTAGGCTACCAATGACTTTTGAACAGTCAATGTGGTCAGGTGGTCAGTTTCTTTTCAGCTCCTGGGGGTCTAAGGTTCAAACCCTTTCATGAGGAAGAGTTTTCCAAATACTGTACAATTGCCGTGTGGTTTATGCAAGTATATCGTACATAAGAAGCCCGCTCTTTCCTTAGATAGATAAGCGAGTTGGTTTGATGAAATTGTTCTGTGAACTGTGACCACCAAGTGCTGTCAGGTCGTTGGGATTATAGCCTAGGCTACCAATTACTTTTGAACAGCCAGTGTGGTCAGGTGGTCAGAGTACTGAACTCGCCAGTGTGTTTTCAGCTCCTGGGGGTCTAAGTTCGAATCCTTTCATGAGGAAAAGTTTTCCAAATAAATATAAATATATATATATATATAATGTAATAGCTATATACTGTAAATTGTTCGAAATTTAATAATTTATAAATGTCCAATAATACTTTAGAATAATCATTCATAACAATACTGTATTCAAAATTTTCACAAATAGAAGTCAGCAATACTGTATGCAGTATGTTTTGGCATTTCTTAAGCATATGTAAGTTAAAAAGATATACATGTATATGTATGCACACAGACTTTCATAGAGTAATATTGAATAGTATGTTGTATTTACTTCTGCTTATTTTATTCAGTATATTTTATCAGAGTGCTTATACAGTAGGCCCTTAATACAGGAAAGACAGCATCTATGGTGCTGTAGATCTCAATGGGTCAACGCAGGGAAAGTCCAAAGCAAGCAGTCTGAAAAATGCTCTCTACTTGTGCCAGTACTGCCTCGTGCACCTCGGTGACTTAGCAAGGTACCGCCATCAAGCCAAACAAGCCGAGAACTATTACAGGTGAGTTATTCTCTGTACTTTTGTAACGTGATAAGTAAATATCTTGATGCCAAGCAAGCATAGATCTGTTAACCCTTTAGCTGTCAAATTTGATATTTTCAATCAAATTCTTTCCAGTTGGTTTACTTTATGGGAGGTTGTTGTTGTTGTTGTTGTTAAAGATTCACTACCTGGAACAAAAAGTTCCAAGTAACATGGGCTATGGTTATGGGAGGGCTCTTGTGGTGGCTCATTGTTGCTAGCAACCTGGATAGCTCCACCCAATTTGAATCACACCAGACTCTTGTGAATCATTGTAAGCTGAGACCTGTTATCTTCCTGTTCAAAAACATACACCGTATAACTGTTGCATATTCCAATTTTGGTCTCATAAAAGTCATGAACAGCTTCTTTAGTATTTCACCATCCATATAATTAAAACAAGTCTGAAGTTGGAAAGCGATGCATATGCTCCTCTCATAATGTTCTTTCTGTGTTCCTCTGGCGATAGCTTACTATCCAAAACTACCCCTAGGTCTCGTTCTTTATTAGAGTTCTGTAATTCCTTTCTACATAATTTGTAAGTTGTGTGTGGCTTATTTTCTAAGATTCCACAGCCCATAACATTGCATTTATTCATATTGAATTCCATTTGCCACTTGATGCTCCTAGCTCTTATTTTATCCAGATCAAATTGAAGGGCATTACAATCGTCTGTGTCTCCTATCTTCCCCAGTATCTTATCATCTGCAAGCATGTTCATATAATTCTGTATTCCTTCTGGTAGATCATTTATGTAAACGATGAACATTACTCATGCAAAAACTGAACCCTGTGGGACCTCCACTAGTAATACTCCTTTAGTCAGATACATTGTCTCTGATTACTGCCCTCATCTGTCTATCAGTTAGAAAATTGTTCATCCATGTCAGAAGTCTCCCTGTTATCCATCCAGCATGTTCCAGTTTCGAGAACAGCCTCATGTGTGGGACTTATCAAAAGCCTGTTTTAGGTCCAGATAGACACAGTCAACCCAGCCACCTCTTTCCTGTAGTATCTCTGTGGCTCTGTCATAAATTACCTAAGTGTTGTTACAGGATGAGAGCTACACTTGTGGTGTCATGTCTTCCCAGCACTCTTTGTCATACAGTATAACGCTTTGAAATTACTGACGGTTTTGGCCTCCACCACCTTCTCGCCTAACTTGTTCCAACTGTCTACCACTCTTTATAAAAGTGAATTCTCTTATATTTCTCCGGCAGCTTTGTTTCATTAGTTTAAACCTATGATCTCTTGTTCTTGAAGTTCCAGGTGTCAGGAATTCTTCCTTACCAATTTTATCGATTCCTGTTACTATTTTGTACGTAGTGATCATATTGCCTCTTTTTCTTCTAGCTTCTAGTTTTTGCATATTTAATGTGTGTGTGTGTTTTTATATATTGTATTAGCCTTTTCATGCATAGTTGTGGTATTGTGGTAAGCACCTATCACTTTCCCAGTCAATAATTGTGTGTTCCAACTCAAGATCAGTATGGAATTTATTATCAGTTGTCTCATATTTTTTTTAGTAAAAAGCCCTTTAATAATGGTTTATAAGAGGAATAATGCTTGGGACCCTATCTTTTATTCATAACATTGCACTTAAAGGAAATCATGTTCAGAACTCAAGCAGATCGACTTATGAAGGGAAATTAGAAAAGTGATAATCGTAAATTGGATTTTTACAGGCATGCTGTTATGGTGGCCCCTACCAGTGGTCATCCATACAATCAACTTGCCCTTTTGGAAGCTGGACGAGGTAACCGTCTGGCAGCAGTGGCGCTATATGTGAGGGCCATGTGTGTGCCTTGTCCTTTCCCTGGTGCTCCTGCTAACCTTACTCAGACGCTCTCCAAATTGTTGGCCTCCACGTGAGTAAATAGTTGGCAGGATTGAAGTTTTCAGCTTGATTATTTTACATTTTATATACTGTATGTCACTGTATGCTTATATGAATTTAATTATATTTAATTATCAACTAAATTTAGTGGAATTGACACTCCAAGCATGGTAAGAAACTAAAATATTTTACAATGCTTCAGCTGAAATTAAGAGAATCTAAACTTAGCAAACCTTCAAATTGCTTGAAATCTCCAAACCAATAAATCTGCTCATTACTCATTTGGTTGATTTTCCAGTAAAACCCATTACAGTACTTAAGGTCGCAGTGATGATATATTGAACATTATAATCGATACTAGAATGAAAGTTGGTACGTAATTATTTTCTTAACTAGGGTAGTAGGGAGGAGGTGGCTTTAAAAAATTATCAGAAGACTGTAAAATGTTGGAGAAACAAATATGTTGGAGTAAGAGAAGGTGGAAGTGGGAAAAATGTTGGAGAAACAAATATGTTGGAGTAAGAGAACGTGGAAGTGGTGAATGTTTGTATTAAAAAACTTCATTTCCCAGGTATATGCAAGACAAATCTGAAAGAAAGATGAGTTGAATATAGTAAATGGCAGTGTGGATGCCATTTACTGAATGCCTGTTGCTTGCAGGGGCTGTTAGGGGGATGTCTGACCTGTTTTACCAGCTCTTGGAGCCACAATGTATGGACCTTCTGGGTAGTGTCCTAGAGCCTGCTGTGGAGGTGGCCCCCTAACCCCTCTTTTTGTGTCGGGTCCTGGGCTAGGAGTCTACCTCACAGCTCTGTTCAGTCTTGAACAGAAACTTGGTTGGACTTTGTTCAACCAAGTTTGGTTGAAACTTCAACCAAAATTTTATTTTATTCAATAAAATAACTTTGTGAACTTGGTTCATAACTTTGTTGAACTTTGTAGTAATCAAGCTCACTGCGGAGGATGTCCCAGTTGTTACTAGTCCCCAAGTGGGACTCAACAGGTCTGCAGTACATTCTGGATCTCTTGGCTTTAATCACTTCTTTCCTTGATCAGCCTTTCGCGTGATCACTTACAAACAGGTTCGCTTATTGACCCCTCCCTTTTCTCCCTAAGTTTAAGGCCTGGTTCATGTTCCTGGTGAATTTGTTTGCCTCTTACTTACTGCTTTTGGGTTCTCCCTTTTTACTTGAATGTGGCTTCTCACATTTTCACAAGGTTGATTCATGTGGAAGTTTCACAGCTTTGGTTGTCGGATGTTTGCATGTTTGCAGGCCACAGATCTGATTCTTTCCCAGCTCACTCAGTTCAGATTCTTGGTGTACTGGTGGAAGTCTCAGTTGGTTCTATTGCAGGTTTTGACCTGACTGGGCATGGTTTGAAATTCTCTGCTGGCTTCCCTTTCAGTGCCAACAGTGGCTCTGTTCCATATGAATGTGCATCTACCACTGATGTTGGTGATGCCCTGGGTTATTGGGCATTTTTTCAAGTGGTTGTGCTTGAGCCTGAAATTTATTTGCAGGGTTTGTCCCATGAGCAGGGTTTAGCTCTGGGCACTGTACTAATTCCTCCAGTACTGCCCCTTTTCCTACCACCAAGACTTATGCGCATACTCCATTAGCCCATCACCGACTTTTGGTTTGCACATTAGTCTCTGTGGTTCTTCCATTTGGTGGCAGTCTGCTTCTATTTGAGGGTGATTGACCAAACTACCAAATGGACCATTTTCTGATTTGCTTGCATATATTTGACTTGCTGTTGTCCTTTTTGCTTTGCTCTATCTTTCTTTCTATGATCACCCTTGGTGAGGGTGATCATAGATCCCCTGCTCTCTCTAGCTTTGTGAGAAGGCCAGGCTTTTACTTCTAGTCCCAATAGGCTTTTATTGACTCATGATAGGTGTGACTTGGTAGGAATGGGTAATAATGAGAGTAGCTAGCTACAGGGAGCTGCCAAGGTCCTGCCAGAAAAAAGCATTTTCATTACATACAATAATGTTTTCTGAGGGGAGCCTCTCCGGCTCCATGGAGTTATCGGGCTAATATGCGAATCATTAGACCGGGGCTTTAGTCATGGAGTTCAGCCTACCAGGGACTACGAGCCAGAACCTGGCCCCCTCAGAGAGGTGCAGGGAGCAATGGCCCAGGAAAACCCCACGATGATTGAGAGTAGCCCCCCTTCCCCTTCCCTGGGGGGGGGGGTTGTTAGTGTGACATTTGCTTGTTTCTTTGAGATTGGAGACAGTTCTGCCTCTCTGTTTGGTTTTTTATTGCAATTTTCTTACCATGTAGGGTCTGTTTTGTTATGCCTAACTTTCTGGGTGCCTAACCCCGGTCGATTGCAGATAAAGAAAACCATCAACCACAGGGGGGAGTTTTCCAGGGCCCTTACTCCTTGCACCTTTCTGAGGGGGCTAGGTTCTGGGTCCAGTAGTCTGAACTCCATAAACTAATGTCCCGGTCTAATGATTCGCATATTAGCCCGATAGCTCCAGGGAGCCTCCGGGCTCACCCAGAAAATGGCATTTCATTACATTCAATGCTGGTTTTTTATTTTAGGTTTCTCCTATGTATTTGCTATTTGTCACTTTTGAGTGCAAGGGGTAAAATTACCAATCAGTAGACATTAATTTCACAAAAACCTATAGAACTTGCACAAGTGATTAATTTGTGGCTGGGAAGTGTTAAAAAAATAGGGGAATTTACTTTTAATGGTCTCTGAAGCCTATCCCTGTTTTCCAAATATTCTGTACCGATAATGTTGATTTGCTAGTTTTTTACTTGCACAATTTTTGTAGGAAAGTTACACACAAATTGAGGGTAATCTATATATTGATGAGCTTTGCTTTATACTTTTACAGTAGCAGCCGTGAACTGAGTGGGTCGACAAGAGTCACTGGAGAAGAGTACACCAATCTCTTTCTTCAGTGCCATGCCCAGCTGTACCTTCATGGAGATGCTGCCACTGCTCGACACGCTCTTCCAACCCTTTGCTCTGCCCTCTCGACTTTAGTTGCGACTAATGCTTTCACCAGAACAAGTCTCATCCAGGTACATAAAGATGCATTTAATATGAATGTATAGTGCCTATATGTGTTCAGATTTTTAATGTTTAGCTTTAAGTATCCTCCATGGTACTTACCTATTAGTACTCACCTAGTTGTGCATGCAGGGGTTGAGCTTTGGCTCTCTGGTGCCACCTCTCAACTGTCAATCAACTGGTGTACAGATTCCTGAGCCTATTCGGCTCTATCATATCTACATTTGAAACCATGTAACTGTGTCTTCCTCCACCACATCACTGCCTAATGCATTCCATTTGTAAACTACCCTGACACTGAAAAATTCTTTCTAATGTTTCTGTGGCTCATTTGGGTACTTGGTTTCCACCTGTGTTCCCTTGTTTGTATTCCACCCATGCTAAATAATTTGTCTTTGTCCACCCTGTCAATTCCTCTGATAATTTTGTAGGTAGTGATCATGTCTCTCCATACTCTTATGTCTTCCAGGGACATGAGGTTTAGCTCCTGTAGTTTTTTCCTCGTAACTCATAACTCTCAGTATCAGTACTTGCCTATCAGTGTCCATGGGGAAGTGAGATATAGCTCGTTATAATTTATTATTAAAATAATAAATTATTATTTTAATAATAATTTAAGGAACTCTGTACCTGTAGCATTTCAATTTAATTATTCTGACTTGTGAATTCTTTGTCAAATCTGGCATTAATCCTTAAGCTGCTAAGGGGTCTTGAGGACTTTCACACCCCTGTGTGCAAGAAAAAAAATTCTAAACTTTTGTTTCGTCTTATAAAAATGTTCATTTCTGGGGGGAGCCCCTTCGGCTCCCTATAGCTTATCCAGGCTGATATGCTAATGTCAGACTTTGGCATCAGTCATGTGTATGTGTCCTCCTTGCATTCCTTTGGCGCCTTTGAGTGCTCTTTCCGCTTGTGTCGCGTGGTGCGTGTACACTTCTGTGCATTGGTCTGTCTTCGTGGCTCATGCCCTTGATTTGGGTACTGGTCTGGTGACAACCCTTTCTTCGGTTGGTTTGTTGGGGCAGGGCCTGCGCCTGTGTAGGTTGGTCTTGTCCCTTTCGTTCCCATTTTGCTGCATGCCTTCTTCGTTCCTCATCTTGCTTTACTCTTGTCCCTGGCCGCTAGTGCTGGGGCTGTTTTTCTGGTCTTTTTCTCATTCTCTCCTACACACTGTTGTGTGTTTTGTTTGTGCCTTTTGGCCTTCCTGTTGCCAGGTGTGGGTTCCTGTTTTCCTGGCTTGCCCTGCCTGTTGGCATTTTCAGGGTCTCGCGGTGTTCCTTCTCTGGAATCTCGTGTCGGACCTGTAGTTTCCGATCTCCTGGCGAGCTGGCTCATGTTGGGAAGTTTTTCTGTTTGGCAGACGTGTTATCTCCTTCCTTGCCGGCTTGGGTTTCCGGCTGTGCCTCCTCGGTGGTCGCGCCCGAGATCTTCCCGGGCTCCGCCTCTTCCTAGGCTCGGATGAACCTTGACGGGACCGGTTAGGTTCTGCCTCGAATCTCTCACCTTCAGTTGGTGGTTAGGTGGCTTTGTTGTTGGTGTCCCACCTGCGTGCTTTTTCTTGGTGGCGGTATAGGGTACTTTGGCAGTCCTTCTGTCCCTTCTTAGGTAGCTGCTTTGTTGGCGTCGGCTTGGCTTTTCTGGTGGGGGTTTCAGGCCGTCATCTTGCCGCATACTGTTGCCTCGTTTCGTGCGGCGCTGGCGGAGTCGCTTTGGCTTGCTTTCGGTCTTGGTGTTACATCTGCGCTGTTCATAAGCTGTCTCATGCGTTGCTTCACCTCCGGCCTCCTCATGCGCCGCTTGAGCCGTCCTGGTCTCTGGACAGCGTGCTTTTTCTTCTCCTCGATTGGTTGTGACCCCTTCGGTTCGAGTTTGTTTCTCAAAGGCTCTTTTTTCCTGTTGGCATTTGCCTCTTGGGGTTGGATCGCTGAGCTTCTTGCTCTCCTCGGGCGCAGGGGTTTCTGCTCCTTTGGTTGTGGCAATTGTTTTGTTCAGTTGCAGCTGTCTCCCTCTTTTCTAGCACGGGATGAGGCTGCTGCTTTCCGGAGGAGTCCTTGGTTTGTTGGTGCTTGGTTGGTCAGGCCGGGGGGTGCATCATGTTTTGTGTTCAATTGCGGCCCTCCGCTGTTATTTGCATGCCACGGCTTCTGTGTCCGGGACTCGCTTTGGACTGATCCGGTTCCGTTCTTCCCTGTTAGCGGGTGCAGGTCTCCCAGGTCGTCCGCCGTGTTATTGCGGCTAGCTAGCCTGTGTTCCTTCCCCGTGCCCCTGGCATTCGTGGGTTCGCTGCTCTTGCTGCAGTCTGGGTGGCATGTCCTAGCTTACATTCGGGCATGGGGCTTTTGGCGGTCGTGCAGGCTGCTCGATGTCTCGTGTCGTTCGCCTTGGGTTGGCGGTTGCAGCCAGTTGTCTTGACTTTGAGTTGGGGAGTGTGTGGCGACTGCCTCCCAGATTCATCCCTCTTTTTTCCTCTGTGGGTAGTTAGCTCTGGGGAGCCGAAGGGGCTCCCCCCAGAAAACCAGGGTTGAATGTAATGAAACGCCATTTTCTGGGTGAGACCCGGAGGCTCCCCGGCATCCCTCCCTCCCTCCGGTCAGCGTTTTTTTGCGTTTTTGGCATCCAGCCTCAGAACTGATGGTGGATAGCCGGCGCGGTAGGTCTGGGGCTCCCTCTTCCCCCTCCCGGGGAGGGGGAAGCTGCGCAGACAGCAGTGCGGCGACGTGTGACGTCATGATCGTTTGTTTGTTTCTTTTAGGGGAGTTCTATCCACCTGTTCGGCTTGTGGTAGCAATTTTCACCAGAATAGGGGTTTGTTTTGGGACGCTTACTTTTTGGGTGCCTAACCCGGTCGATGGCAGACATAGAATGCTTTCAACCACACGGGGGTTTCTATAGACCATTGCTCCCCTTGCCTCTCTGAGGGGACCAGGTTCTGGCTCGTGGTCCCCGGTAGGCCCATAGAACTCCATACACATGACTGATGCCAAAGTCTGACATTAGCATATCAGCCTGGATAAGCTCCCGGGAGCCTCCGGGTCTCACCCAGAAAATGGCGTTTCATTACATTCAACGCTGGTTTTCTGGGGGGAGCCCCGTCGGCTCCCCGGAGCTATCCCAGGCTGATATGCTAATGTCAGACTTTGGCATCAGTCATGTGTATGGAGTTCTTAGGCCTACCGGGGACCACGGCCAGAACCGGGCCCCCTCAGAGAGGCAAGGGGAGCAATGGCCTATAGAAGCCCCCGTGTAGTTGGAAGCATTCTATGTCTGCCATCGACCGGAACAGGCACCCAGAAAGGTAAGCGCCCCAAAACAAACCCCTATTCTGGTTAAAATTGCTACCTAATACCGAACTAGTGGATAGAACTCCCCAACCGAAAACAAGCAAATTAGTGTGACGTCACACACTGCCGCGCCGCTGTCTGCGCAGCTCCCCCCTCCCCGGGAGGGGGAAGGGGGAGCCCCAGACCCCCCGCGCCGGCTACCCACACCTCAGTTCTTGAGGCTGATGCTATAGGCGATGGTCGTGTGCTCTGGCTCCGGTGTCGCTACTGCACTGTGCTTTGAGTGTGGTGTTAGTTTTGTGGGTGCGAGAGCCAGGAGTTATCTTCAGTACTCGGGCTGCATGCGCCTAGGGCTGCCTTCCCTAGGTGCCCTGTAAGTACTGCCCTTGGGGCTTGGGGCCACCTTCCACAGGCTCCTCGGGGTCTGCCTCTGCTGGTCCGTTTTACCTTTCGGTTTTTCGGCCGCCTGTTGGGCTCTTGGGTGTTCTGTTCTCCCTTGTTACCGGCAGGTAAGAGGCAGTTTGCACTGGTAGGGGCGCAGGGTGCTGCTCAGCTTGTAATTCCCGACATCGCGGCCGGCTCTGTTCCTTGGGGTTCGCTGTCCTCTTGCGGGGTTTTGTTTTTCTTTTTGTTTTTGCCTGGTGGGGGGTTCTGTCATTTTATTCAGTTTGTTTTTGCCCTTCCACTGTTCTCCTCGGTGGCGCCCCCTGCTAGGTCCCCGTGAGTGTACACGTCCCTGGGGTTCAGCTTTAGAAGTTTGCTTGGTAGTTTTGGGCGCCGGTTTGCAGCACCCTGCCTGGGACTACCTGAGCGCGAGTCCTCTTAAAGTAAACGCTCAGGACCCTGGGAATCCCCTAGGGGGCGCGTGGGTCCGATGGATGTGACCCCGGAGTCCCCACTCGCTGTGTGCGAGTTTGAGGGTTGCTCGGTCCCCTTGTCTCAGGGTGACCCTCATTGTTTTTGCCTCTGCCACGCTGCCTGTTGGGTCGGTGATACTTTCGACCCTGAGTCCTGTGAGTGTTGCTGCTTGCTTGTGACTCAATTTACCCAATCCTCTGATGATTCTATTCGGGTACAGGCGGCACGTGCGTTGCAGTCTAGGTTTCGTCTGTTGCAACGCGCTCGGTTGGTTGCTTCCCCGGATGCCCCGGGGCTGCCCCGCTTTGCTTTTCGAGACCCGGACTTGGGGGTGGGGGTCGCTTCGATCCTGGTTCAGTCCGCACCTCCTCGTCCTTCCCCTTCTGTTCGTTCTGGTCCCCCGCCCCTGCTTCCGGCCCCGAAGCGTCTGAGGGTTTCGGGGTCGGAGCAGGGGTTACTTGATCTCGAGACTCGGGCAGCTTCGGGGGTTGCCCCTTCCGGGGGGGCGGCAGAGGCATTCGAGTCTTGTCTCCCGGCCGAAGCTTCAGGGTCTGACCAGTGGGCCCCCCTTCCTCCAGCTTTTCCGGCTGCTCCGTCCTTGTCTTGTGGGGTCGGGGCTTGGGGAGAGGACTCGGCCTCGGGTCCTGTGGTGACGGACCTCGAGGCTGGGGAGGGGCTGACTTGGGGGCCTTGGGCCCCGCTGGACCCCGCCTGGGTTTTTCTTCCCACTGAGCGGGGCTTATTGTTACAAGGAGTGGGGTTTTCTTTCCCCCCCTCTGCGTACGAGTTGGATTTGGTGTCGGCCCCTCCCCGGGTACGGTTCCGTGTTCCCCCGGGTACGTCGGTTCCGTCCTTCCGGAGGTTTTCGGCTT